TGTGGTTAAGTGCTCTGTGGCGTCACGAGAGCCCTGCGAGCCTCGGCTGCACTTCCACGGTTTTTCAGCGTCACAGACACAAAGCCAAGCTAAAGAGACACACATGGTGCACCGCTGGAGAGCCAAGCTGCCTTATGACGCTGGGCTGCTCCTCAGTTTAATCTATGAGGACAAACCAATCCACAAGATCTGGAACTATTCTCTCAACAGTCTGAATTCAAGATGAAAGAGGAACTCTAACTGGCCTTGACCGCGCTGATCTCCTGTCTCATAGGAACAGGGTTTTTTTGTTCCTGGGAGTGGAAGCCATTTTGTAATGTTCCTCTTGACATATTGTTAATGAGGTGTGAGCACCGTCATTGTTACAGTAGAGAGGATGTATGGAAACTATTTGCTCTAAAGGCTCTGATGCGGAAAAACAAAGATGACATAGTCAAGTTGTTATTCTGCCATCCACCACATAAAACTCTCTTTTTTAGAAAAGATTGTGATGGTTTTATTGACCTATCAATAAAGCAGCATGTAAAGCATAATTTTGATTAATATTTTATGGCTATACTTGAGCTTTATGGACTTCTTGTTTTTGTTGAAACACATCCAATGTAATATAAAAAATCCTTAAAGCTGCACTAATGAATATTTTTATATTAACAATGGATCAAATTATTTGTAATGTGAAAGGGGTCACTTGATTGAGAATTATCACCCAACTCAGTTCCCCTACAGCTCTGTGAAGCATTTTAGCATCTTTCAGCTCATTGTTTTGAATTTACCGCTTCGGTTCACTCTCACCAGAGTTGCTCTCATCAGGCAGCTGTTTTTAGCCAATACAAAAGTTCTGATGAAGATGAAGTTAGCGACCAGCTGGTGAAGAAAGTGAAGCATTTAGCAGCTAAAGAGCCTGAGACCAAAACAGAGCTAAAAGGGAGTGAATATATGACTTAAAGTCATTGGGTTGCCAAAAACATGATTCCAAATTAATTCTAATGTTTAGTATTGTCCCTGACATAAGATTTTCCTAGTTGACAGTGGACTCCACCTTAACTCATCGTGTGCCTGGTCCTTCAGTGGTGCCTGGCAGGGGGCACAGGCTGTGTCGGGTCCCGGTGTCAGCCAGTATGCATTGCCCTACTCTGGCTAAGCTTCCAGCCCCACCCCCCGGCAGTCCAAAGCTTTAGGTGTAAACAAACCTCTCCCAGTACTTAAAGCTCAGTCAGTCTGTCCAGGTACAGACAGCTGATAGGAAGCTCCCGTTTGATGCTATTTTTGTTTTTTTTTGCACTACTAAAAAGTGCATTGACTAAGACTGTTCTCATCGACTAACAGAAGGAAAGTTCCCCAAACTTTATACGATATGTGTTTGCTGTTGTTCCACTGCACCCACTAATGCTGGATTCAATTTAGTTTTAGTTTAATTGAGAACAAATCTAGAAGTAACCTCTTAAATCTTTTTATTCTTATTTGTAGGATGGCTTCATTTTAGAAAAACTACAAGTGGAAATCTCTATATTTATTCATGTTTCCATTAGTGTGCATAAAAGCAGGACATCCAGTCTATATTTTATATACACTAATAATAAACTTCATAGCTCCACTTCACCAGAAACAATGGGAAGAAAACACTTAAATTTAGCAATATATTCATACATCCATGTCTAGCTTTGCACTGGTATCTTACTGTAATGGAAGATGGTCATTAGCACAGCTGAATGCCGTTGACCAGCTGTGGTGGTGGTTGGTGGGTGTGGGGCTGGAGGGGGCACCCAGGAGTGGCCCTGTAATCGACAGGTCCAGGCTGCACACCAAGAGGCAAGACAAAAAACGCTTTGTGGTCCTGATATGAATCTCAATGCGCCCGTTTCTACGCCTCCCCTCCTGGCCTCACCGTGGATATCTCAGCGGACAAAAACGATCTCCATGAGAAAATACAAGCTCAAGCACTCTGAGGCGAGAGTGAATGGAACAGCGACAGTAACAGCACCATAGTGACTGATGCTAGTTTTCAGATTCTGTTCATGATGCACATGGTCTGTATTGTATTTGTCTGCTTTTTGTAACAGCAGCCGTTTAGATCGGAGAAACGATTGTCTCGCAAAACTTTAATTTTATTTCAACATGGTTTTGTTTAAAGCATTTATCTGACTCAATGCAGTTGAGAGCCAGAGCCACTAGATGATAGTTTGGGGTATTAAGCTCTGTATTTCTTATTTTTTACATGTGATAACAGATGCTCTAAAGATACGCAAAAGATTAAGCACTACTGTCCTTTTTAAAAAAAACTTATAGGATTTTGTAATGTAAGAAGAATGTATTGCTGCCATTGTGCATCAAAGCATGCAGGATGGCTAAATCTTGAGTGGGAGGGGTTCAGTGGGTGTGTACCCCCTAAGTAGTCACAGATGCCAGGCGCAGTCGGGGAAGGAAGCGCCCGGCTCTCCTTCCGTGTTAGCCAAGGGAAACTCTGGTTTGGGCGTGGGCCCAAAAAGATACAGAGCCAAAGACTGTGATACAAACAGGTCACATCTTCAGTGCAAACAAACAAGTCTGCAGGCCCGAGGAAGCCACAGTGTTGACGGTAAGTTCTGCACTACATCTATGAGTTTATGTTGAGGTCTTAAAGGGTCAGTTCACTCAAGTTACAAAAAACATCCCTCCAGTGGCATCTAGCCACGCGGAAACATGTTATTTTATTCTAAGATGTCCTTTCGCGATATTTCTTCCTCAGCCCTAATGCAATGGAGGTGAATTTGTTTAATGGAGTAATTTGTTTGTGGTGCTTGCAGCACTAAAACATTACATACATAAATCAGCAGCAATATGTTGGCACCTGGATAGCTCACCTGGTAGAGCTGATCCCTACTTCAGATGCTCAGTGTTCAAATCTGACCTGTTTCTAAAGATAATCTACAGACCTCACTGTTAACAGTATTTATTGAACTACTTTCTACCAAAAAATTGTCTTTATGAAAACTGTTGTTCTATGGACATTAGACATTGTTTCTGGAAAGACATGCAGCTGACGTATATCAACAAACCTGGGCAAATAAAAGCACAACCATTTGCATGCCTTGGTATTACTAGAGGTAAAGTTTAATAGAGGAAAATAATTTGTATAATTTTGGAATTTGAATGAACTGATCCTTTTAAGAGTTGTCTTTCCGAGAGGTCATGTGGCACAAAAAAAGAGTAGATTCCGAAAGTTTCAGAGGTAAGATGAATCTGATTTAGTCTTTGAAAAGAGAAAAGTAGAAGACAAACAGAGATGCCGATTCCATTGCTACAGCACTATTCATGCAAGCAGGCACGACTCTCTGCTTGAAGGTGATGCTGTTCTTGGCCTTGAACTTACAACTCGTGTCATGTGTTTGCCAGCATAATAGCAGACACACTTCCGATGGAGGTGTTTCAAAAGCTGCGTCTTGTAAAAGAGGAATGTTTGAATTTCAAACTAAAGGATGAGCTGAAGCAGCATTTTCAACCACACAGGTTACAGATCACAGGCTGTGGTGTAAAATAACTGTCCTCCACTCAGTTCAGGATCCATATTCATTGAGGAGCCAATCAGTGGCCGGGCTGTTGAATCCTCAGAAGGTGATAGGTAGCTGGCTTGTTAGTATCATGGGTGGATTACTGAACAGGTCAGTTACAGGTGGAGTGTCCCTGGACCAGAGCATCTGTATGAAGTGACTGTTAACATTTCTTGTTGCAAAAGTTAGTCAAAGGACCACAAAGACACTCAAGATGACTACAACGAGACACAAAATGACTCCAAAGAGGAGCAAAACAACCACAAAGACACGTAAAACAACTACAAAGAGATCAAAAACAACCACAAAGAGACACAAGATGTCAGCAAAGAGACACAAAACAACCACAAAGAGACATACAATAACTACAAAGAGATTTAAAACAACTACAAAACACAAGATGGCAACAAAGAGATCTAAAACAACCACAAAGAGACACAAGGTGACTACAAAATGACACAAAACAACTAGAAAGAAAGACCCAAGATGATAACAAAGAGACACACATAAAAAAAGACCAAAAGGGCACAATGTTACTACAAAGAGACACAAACAGTTTTGCGTCTCTTGCAGTTTTGGTTGAATATGTGGGAGGTCTGGGGACCTTTTGCATGTCTGTGTCCATTGTCTCACAATCTGTCCATGACGGTAGACTATTTGGAATTACAAATAGCGTCATTATTACACCGAATAAACAATGTAGGAATTCGTAGTGTACAGTTCATTATTTCTAAGACCCGGGGCTTTATGTTTGAGGCTCAACACATTTCTTCTCATTTTACAAATGAGAGTTACCACCAGTGGCGTACACAGACTTTTTGAAGGGCACTGCGGAAAGAAAAAATAGGGCACATAGCGCTTCCTCACCACTGTATAAGGCACTTTAGCACACGTTTTGGCTCCCAAGAGGGCACTTTAGCATGCGACTGCCTGGGAAATAGTGATCGAGGTAAACCATCTTTATACTTTAACTTCGTATAGTGCAGTTTCTGAATACTACCAACCAAGTTCCCCCATCCTCTGTAACTCTGATGCCACAGTTTGTATCTCCTGTATTTCCTCCTGTAGCTGAAAATGAAAATCTGTTCTGCCACCAGAGCTAATGTCACACACAAATGTGACTCCACTGGGAACTGATTATAAAAAAGTAATCCGCAGCAACACACCAGATTGTTTTCTAGGGATAAAAAATACTTATTTGAGCAGAGAAGTGATTTCATGGCAATATGGTCATGTGACTGTACAGGTTTAACACTATATGGATTCATAGAGTTTATACAGCAGCTATAGTGGCTGTACATCCAGAGGGGTTGAACAAGTCTTGGTGCCCCTGACTTTATAATAAACCTGTGATTCCTACTCTGAAATGCTCTGTGGGAATATCAGAAGATAAAGAGATTAATCAAGCATCACATTCCGGCACTCTGGCAACACTTCAACTTTCAGACTGTCCTTTCTGACCACGGGTCCTACCTTGGTCGCTGCATCCTGCAGGCGGAGATTCCTCCTCCTGGTCGTCAGGACTTTTCCGTTTCTTCGACATTTGCTTCTCCCTATTCCAGTGATGGATCTACCCACCGCTGACTCGATATCTGCCGATAACGTGAGACACCTTCAACCAGCAGGATACACAACACATAAAACAGTCTGCGGGAGGCGAGAAGAGAAATGTGAATAAATCTCAGTCCCATTCATTCAGATCGCTTCTCTGAATGTCCTCTTTCCAGCGTGCTGTGTGCGCAAAGTTACCATGTGGTGGCCAGCCGAGCATCTGGAGACGCAGCGAGGCATGGAGCCGGTCTCCTCCTGATTCCCGCCGTAATCGGACAAGATGTGTCTCCGCGGACGGTCCGGGACTTATTTCTCTTGTCAAATGAGAAATATTTTGCAGCTGAAGTGATTTGTCGATCACGTGTGTCGCGGATTACGCTTGAACCCCGTTCAGATGGAAATTACGCACTCGAGGCAACTTGTTGATCTTAATAATAAAAGTGATTTTCGTCAGTCCGGATGTTTGGTGGGTTTTTTTTTTAGAGTAAATTTAGATCTTCAGTGTTGTATGAGGTGTTTAACTTGAATGGTGTCCCGGCGACGTCAGACAAGTCTAATCAGGAATGGATGACGCACAGCCGACACAACGGGAACTCTTGGGTATCTTGAAGGGTATAGGCCAATGTAAATGGAGATTATCTGGACGTGGTCTGCCCGCTCAAGTACACCAAAGCTTGTGTCTCTTTGGCAACATGTGAGCTGCGCACTAAGTTGCGGGTAGAAAATGCACCCCGGCAACATCTGTGAAGGAGGAGAGGATTCCTACCCGGCGTAAAACTGGAGACACTGTACTACAGAAGTAGTGTAGGGGGAGTGCGCGGTACAATACCTTCTCTTTCACAACACCATCAGTCCAGCGACGAGGAGAAAACACTCTGTTTGTCTGTGAAGCTTCTTGCGCAAAACCTCCAAATCCAAGTGCCAGAGTGACATAAATCGAACAAACACGCATTGTGTTATGAGGACCAGTCTCCGAGGAACAGCTTTGCTTTCACTTGAGTGCGCGGGATAGCCACAGAGCAACTTGAGAATAAGCTGTGAATAAATGCAGCAGGAGAGTGGCGGTGTTGCGCGTAGTATAGAGCAGGCGATGACGCCACCGGTCTGGCTTTTTACAAATTGCTTGATGGTAGTTTTCCCCTCCGGCCGACTCGTCTCTGAATGCCAAGAGTATAATAAAAAATAAAGAAAAAAAACCCTCTTTCACTAAAGCAACAGAGGAGTGTGCGTGCTTGGGGAGTTTTAGGAGCTTTCCAGTGGAATAAAAACTGCACAGACACTCTCAGATTATCACTGATCTACTTTCACACATTCAATTTTTGTTTGAGTCACAGATGGATGCCTGACACCAGTTGAGCAAAAAGCACCCCCCCTCCTCCTCCTCCCTCCCTCCTCCTCTCTTCATTCTCTCATATGCTGATTTATTTATTAACACTCCCGGGTCAGGGGATCATATTCCATTTACTACATCTGGTTTAAATTTCCAGTGCAGCACCTATACTGTTTCTCTCCAAAATGTGTCACTTGGTTGTCAGGGTAAAAAGGGCTTTTGAAATTAAAAAATTAAAAAGCTGAGAGTTTTTTTTTTTTTGTTGGGGTTTTTTTTTTTGTGCGTATATGCGCACATCCGCGGCGGGTTTCTTGCGAAGAGCTACAGTTGCATTCGTGCCAATGACGCTGGTATTTCGTGGTATTTTCTGAAGGCAAACACGCCTCCCTCTCCTCCCTCCCCCCCTCTCCTTCTCTCGCTCTCTCTCTCTCTCCAGCTCCCCCCCTCCCATCCCTCATTCACTGCAGCTACTGACGTCAAGACATGCTTGCGTCAATGCTCCCTGCTTTGACAGAGAGCTTTTTTTTTTTTCATTGGGATCATAATGAGATTATTAGGCTTAGAGAAATACCCTGCCTTCGTGGCTTTTTAGATATTTTTTTGATAGAAGTCCCATTATCCTTTCTTGCTTTAAATATTAGTCCTTATAATAAGAAAAAGGACATGTAATTAGCTCTTACGGCACATCACAAGGACAGAATCGTGCCACAATACAATGATGATGCCTTTTCCTTCGTTTTTCTATTACATTTGTAATACTTAATAACAAAAATGGCCATCAAGATCCTACATTTATTTATCTTTGAGTGCTTATGCACCTAAATCTGCACAAAAGGAGGTAAAGCAGATCCCTTTTTTGGGGTGTTATAACCAGACAGGTAATCCACCTCGTCTGTGTTGATTTATTTGACACTGATATGTATGCAATATCTCTGTACACTGACAAATAGCCACTGGGCACACACCATAGTACACATTTATTATGCATTTATTAACCATAAAGAGTGAGACGGTTTCCTCCTGTGGACTGACAGCCAGACATCAGCGAAGCAGTCAGTTGTGATTTAGCAGATTAGATGTCTGTTCCTTCCCGTCGGTCTGTGGTTGCTGCTTGTAGAAGTGGGAGGATGTCATGATGTCCTTATAGGCTGACCTTGATCTTCTGGGCTGAATGGGCTCTTGTGCTTGTTGACTTCACTCCACTTCACTCCAGCCATAATACCTTTCTATACACTTTCTCTGCAACTGCTCTGCGCTTTGTGTCACTGTGTCCTAATATTCAAATACCATATACTCTGCACATGTTAATGTTGTTCGTGTTGAAAACAATGCCTACTGTAGAGCTTAATTAAGTGCAAATACAAACCAAAGTAATTCAAAAGAGAGAAAAGGTCAACTAGAAATGAATGACATCTTGCATAAAATGACAGAAGTCAAATCAACAATGGTTGTTCTTTGCTTTGTGTCAAGTTGGGACTTCAAACAGGACTTGGATTGTTGCCCTGAGTTTGCGGGTAACACTTCAAGCTAACACGAATGTTGTTTTGCAATCTGATGAAAAGCACACATTTAAAATATGCTAGCTGTAGTTCCTGTTTGTTGAGTTGGGCTTTGAGTTCAATGTGAAAATCCAAACTACAGCAAACATCTTTAGCTAAATCCGATTCTGACTTCCTGACACACAGACGAGAGCTCCCATGTTACTCGTTCCTATCTGTCCATTAAGCTGTTTAAACATCAATATGACAGTATCCTCCTCATCCTCTTTACAATAAAGTCTACAAACAGGAAGATGTTATACCATAGCATGCCATCAGTTTGAATTACCTGTAAATAACTTACCTGTTTCACTTCTCTATAAACATACTGTACCTAATCATCACCAACTGCAGATCAGTGGCTGAACAGAAAACCTTTCTGAGTCACTTGAGGTCATATAAGGTCCACCATCAGCAACCCTATAGAGTGTTACATAAATATCTCCTACATGATGTCTTTCCTGAGTTTATCAGGAATTATCCATAATGCACAACTAATTACTTTGTGCATTTCATCCTGTTAACTATAAATATCTCTGTGGTACGCAAGGAAGATGCTTGTGAGGATACTGAGGAATATTCACATGTTTTATGAGCATGGAGAGAAAACAGTTTCAGTTGATGCAAAGATAGAAAGCTTGTCTGAATTAAGCCTTCATTGCAACATTTTGTCCCAAGCTGTGTACAGTTCCCGTTTAAGTCTTTTATGTGGTGGTGTTTATGTGTAATTGGTTGTGTTTAGAATTAAATGTCAACAGAGGCTAAAATCTAATTCATTTTCTGCTGCAACAGCATGGTTGGTGTAACTACTGCAGCCAAACTGTTGGAAGCTTCTCAACTCAAAGTGGTCCAGATGTGCAGTCCACTCTCAGTTAAAGATATCATATTAGAAAAAAGAAAAGGTAATCCCATTTTGAGTGTTTGAGTTGTTTGTCACAAACTATTCCAAGTTACTAGTTTTCTATTCAATGATGTAAAAATCTTCAAATGTCAATGAAAGGTTTCAGTTCAATAAGTCAAACATGAAAAACACACTGTACTATGTCCTAAGGTGATTTTAATGTCATGCCAGTACTAACAAGACTTAATATATGTTTCTCACGTAATTAAAAAAATGCATGTCTGGGCTTGCGCTATGACAGGAAGGTGCTAAAAAGCTTTGTGCACACTTAAAGGAGGATAGAACAGAGTGCAGTTCTGTAATTTAAATAAATAGTAAATAGTTTTACATATTAGAACTCTATTAATCATATTTATCATTGACTAAAGAATTCAAGTGGCAATCCTTTTGATATATTTTATTAACTTTATTGGAAATACTGTTTAAGATCCCAGTGTTTCAAGGAACACAAATATGTCTGGAATGTAATCAGCAGTATTTCACATGACATAAATCTCTCAAACTCAAATGGCATGGAGCCACTGCTGGTATTTTTTATTTCAAAGGAAAGCCACTTCAATATTCAAGCACAAGAAAGTGCAATTACTAACATCATACTCAACAAAAAAACAGCAGTTTCTATACATTTCTATATCATCATTTTATATAAATACATGCTATTACAAGGAATTATCCGGAATGATTTGGCACAAGCTCCACAAGGTGAGCCTCTGAGGCGCCTCTTTATATCATCATTTTATATGATCTTTGTTGTTCCCAGCCAAATAAATAAACCTGCTCTCTTCTTATCAACCCTTTGCACACATCTGCACCTTTGACCTTTGTCATTGTTCTGCACCAAAATTAATACACTTTTAAAAAAGAAAATAGAATTATGTTTTTTTTGAATGATAGTTTAAATTAATATGAAACAACTATAATCTTGCAGGCCAGATTATATTATATTTTTGACATCATGTCGTGGGCTGGAAGGAGGGGGATGGAGGGCCAAAAATGGCCCACGAGCCAGCACTTTGAGACCCCTGATGTAAACATTACAGACATAAAAGTGTGAATTAGATCTGAAGCTGTGAATTAGTGTGATTCAGCTTTACTTAACCAAGCAAACAAGCAGATACTAAATGCAGAGTGTGCTGCATTTAGTATCTGCTTGTTTGTTATGTATAACATAAGTTGTGTCACCAGGGAGGTGTGAATGGAAACAGGGTGAGAGGGCTGAAGCTCAGTGTTTATCTCTGGGGTTTCTCACTCTGATGTCCAAACACTGTCCGTACAGTTCCAATAGTGCCCCCCCAACTTTCTAGATGTACACGGATGTAATTCCTCACCAATGTGTGGAAAATACTCCTTCTGTACTAATTCTTCTCTCAAAAGGTGAGCAGGAGGATGAGCTGAGTTAGTAGACTATTTTATTGCATATTTCTAAGTTAGGTCAAAATACAGTAACAGGCTATGTTGAAATGGAAAAATAATTGAACCATGCAGCGTGTTGTTTTTGGGTAAGAAAAAGTTTTTATCACAAACAGCTGACTGAATGTTCATTACAGAGAGACAAAAACCAACAAGCAAGCACGAGAAGGCAGAAATTGGTATTTTGGGATGAGTTTTAGAGAATCTTTAAGTGTGGGCCTTTGATCGTCTAGAACTGCTAATGAGATTGGAATTAGATCACTGACCCAATTTTATGTCCCAAGGAACCAATAAGCACTCAAATGAAATTGTCCCTTATGTTGCTGGGCACCTCCATTAATCTAAAGCTGAAGGTCTCTGAACCTGACTTTGTGAACCATCAGTGTAGATGATAATTTAAAAAATGGCCACTGGAGGATAGTACACAGCCAGATACTGTATGTAAGGATGAAATAAATGGGCCAAAGATCTGGTTGTGCCCTATTTATCAGTGAATTAAATCATTTTTGGTAGTTTTGTGGAATTTCTCATTGTGGAGTCACAGTGACACTTCTTCTACTACACAGAAAGCAAAAAGGACATTGTGGCCAAGGTGGATGGATTTGTACAACTTAAACAGCAGCATAAAGAGCAGTGCAGTGTGAAATGAGCAACAGGAAATAAAGCACACTTAGGTTTTTAATGTCATGTAGATAGCCTCAAAAACAGCCATTTTAGAGATGTCAACATGATTTCTTAGTTATGTATTATCTGCATAGCAGAGTATTGACATGGAAGCCCCCTTTTCATTTTATTTTTAAAATAACATAATATCTCAAACGGCGTCATTGTGGTACAAAAAGCTTCTTTTATCTATTTACATGGTAAACCTCCATTAGTTTCTCATTTACACTATAAACAATGTTTAAAATCATTTAACGTTTTTCAACTATACATTTATTTTTGGCTTACTGCTGTGGATATCATGGAGTTATGCTTAATATAAGCAGGTTAAAATGGATTTTGGTTCACAAACATTACCATATATGTTTTTCCTGCTCTGTTGAACAAAAACATTTGATGAACTTGAAGAAAAAAACAACCCCAAAATCTTTTGTTAAAAACATTTGGAATTTCTAAATAATTCATTGATACCACACATTTTTAAAGGGTTGGTTCAAGAACTGAGAGTCTCTGTTGCTTCAATCATGAAGTGTATTGTGAAGATGTAATTTACGGTTGATTCTTCCTTTAAGGCACAGCAGATTAAACATCCTCTAGACAACATTTCATGGCCGTCTCTCTCTGATCAGAGGGATGGAGGTGTCACAGGAGTCCAGGCTGAAGGTAGCTGCCCGTGTGGGGAGGTGTCGTACTGAGCTGCGTCATGCACTTCTGTGGCTGTGCCGCTGTCGTACATGGGAGAGCCAGAGGAGGGCACTGTGACTGAGTGAGGCAGGCTGGGGTAGTGGCTGCTGGACCCTCGAAGGAACTGGGAGCTCAGGCCGTTGTTTATCCCCCCATTCTGGGACACAGGAGTCAGGGGCGAGTTACTTACAGACCACAGGCTGGTGTACTGACTGTAGAGAGACATGGATAGAAACTGTATTTTACTAATTTATTCTTAGGACGTTTTAGCTATTAGCTATTTACACCATAAATGATCACTTTAGATAGAGGACCTCAAGTCAATGCAGTGAAAATACACAAAAAACTAATCAGACAGTAGGTTAATTTCTGCTGCATTGTGGACCTTAACATCAAAAAATGAACTTTTGCCTTTGTAATGGTAACATTTTTAGACATCTTTTTCTATTTTACAAAGTCAACTCCTCATACTCCTTTAGCCTCAGTTTTTTGTTCTAATGGCAATCCTTTTAACACAACCAAAGAATGCTAAAAGCAGAAACGCTTAAAAACAAGACTTACACAAAACTAATGTACTCTAATAGTTCAGCAAATGTTGGATACATAACCAACTTTTATTTCATCTTTTAACTAAGACGTTTGTACTTCTGTATTTTTTTTTCTCACCATAATCACTGTTTGTATGTTCAACTTGAATTTCCTAATGGCTTGTTACACATAACTTTCTGTTCCTGTTCTGTTCAAAAAAGTTACCGCCATGCACAAGGTATGCCAGAACACCTAAATTAAAAGCATGCCATGTTTATTTTCAATTTTTATAATTGTTTCTGTCTAGATCATCTTCTTTATGTATGATGCTATTGTTGATGCAAGAGGAACGACACAAACCTAGTGTTGGTACCAGAGGTGGAATTGTGGGCCATGGGCATCATGCTGGGGTGTGTTGGCATCTGTAGACTGGACCAGTTATCGTGGCTTGAGAGCATCGACAGACAGGCAGCTGAGTTATCGGAGTAACTGACTACAACACAAACAGAAACACTGGGGTTTAGTAGGTAGACGGGTCACTAGGTTTTTAAATATATTTCTTTAACCTAAATCATGTGTTACTAAATCAGTTGTTTTCACAATATAATTCCAGACTTGTCTCTCTGATATCAGTATGACAGTTAAAGGTGTGAATATTCTCTCCATACATTCCTCATCTGAAGCCCAAGCATTTACAGCTCTGTGGCTCCACTCACACAAAAGCCAGAGGAATGCAAAACATTCCGCGCTCAGCAACATTTGTTTGAGTTTCTTGTTAATAGCCAGGGAGGAAGTGGTGTAATTCCTGGATGCATGAAGGTAAAGGTTGGAGGAGGACACTCACTGGGAGAGTTGGTCCGATGGCCGTATGGATTGGCGTAGGGGGCAGAGCGGTGGTTCCTCAGGGTGGAGTAGCGCTCACAGCCGTGGGACGGTGAGAGGGAGATGGGGCTCCCAAACTGGCTGTGAGGACTGGCGGGAGGGCAGAGAGGGCCTGTGCCTGGAATAAACCAACCACCTACTGGCTCCACAGATGAGAATAAACATGATGAAACCATATAAACACAATATAGCTTACAAAGTGTGAGATGAAATCAGATGAATAAATGAACAAAATAATATAATACTTACGTTGAGAGTAAGTCGACTGCTGGTTTTCACTGGGATCTTCTCTTATGTCTTTGTTATCGCTTCTGACAAAAGGAAATGATTGATGAAATACTTAATAATGGAAACTTTTACACATCTTAAAGACATCAATAAAACGTTCTGTATTCTTACCTATCCTTTGCATCTAGGAAGGCCTTGGCAAAAGGGTTGTACTTTATTTTAAGAGCAGTTATCTAAAATCCAAACAGAAACAACAAACAAATAATTAGGACTGTAGTTTGCCACCAATAATAATCATAACAGATAAACTAAATGCCGTGCGTAAAGTTCTGTGCGTAAATTACGCACACATTTTACGCGCATACAAGAAACAATATTGTTACGTTTTTTTCAGTAATATTAGATCAGATTTTAATTTTAAAATATTGTTTTGCCAACCTCTTCGTTTTGGTATGCCGTTACTGCAATGAACTGCGTCTCTGGGAAAGAGTGGCTGGTGATCATCCTCCTCGGGCCTCCAACCCGCACTATGTGGATGCGTGGCTCGTACTTGTGTAAAGAATTTAACATTATCTGAAAAACAACAGATGAAACACAAGACGATCATCACGAGTTGTAATTTCCACGTGTCTTATTTGGAAATTAAAGCATGGAAGTTAAAAAATAATATGGGACAGTCTGAACTGTTTTCATCTGAAGAAAAACCAAAGAAAGTACAGGATCCAACATCCCCTCCTCTCCTTATCCTTACCTGACCGCCGCCGTTGAGTTTATTGGTGAGTTTGACTTTACTAAAGGAGACGGGAGCTTTCATCCAGTGCGCCCCGAAGTTTGGAGAGTCCGGATGAATGTACACACAGCTGGGAGTCTGGGGTTCAGGTTTGCCACCGGGGACCCACTCCCCGTTCACATATTTCCACCTGTGGTTGTCCGCGGATACGAAGTCCAGCAGGACAGAATACATGGCGTTCGGGTCCAAACCAGACACGTTCACTTTCAGCACCGGAAACATGCGCCTTGATGAAAAGGAATGATAAAAAATAACTGTATTAATATGTGAAAGTGCTCTATCTATCTATCTATCTATCTATCTATCTATCTATCTATCTATCTATCTATCTATCTATCTATCTATCTATCTACCAGATACTGTTCTCACCTGCCGTTCTTTGTAACTATCATTTCATTCGTAAGTTCCTTAAATTTTTGCCAGAGCTCGTTCTCATCCAGGGACACTTTCAGTTCCTTCTCCGTGGGGTCGCCCTTCTCGCTGCCGGCCTGCAGCTCACTCTCCACCGCACTGAGGAGGTGGTCCACTCGGTACTGACTGACCTTCCGGGGACACTCGCCGGCGCCTGAGGCCATTCTGTCCAACAGCTCCAGGGCTGAATAGTTGTAATCACAGGTCTTACTGGGAAAAACAAACAAACAACTAAATCCGCACCAGAACCTCTTTCCTCTTCTCGTGTCTTCACAAAGACAAGCAGTTATCTCAGGTCCTCATGGACAGCTCCTGAATATATAGGCTGAAGAGGAGCTGGGTGTTTGGAGCAGAGATGGTTGGCTCATCTCCTCTTTGATCTTTGCGGGCTTGTCACCGATTGGCTGGAAGCGGCCATATCACTGAGGTCCACAGGATGACAGCGAATAAAGCAGTTTAACCCACTTTATTACATCAACCTGTAAATATTGACACTTAGATCAAAGCCACACCTGCAGAAACCAAACCACTCCAGGGTGACCAAGGCTGCTTCTCATTTTACTTTCTTTCTGATTTCTTAAGCTTGTTAGGAGAACTGTTCTCAATTTTTTTTTTTATGATAAAAACTTGTCAAAACTGCTTTAAATGTTGATACATTGGTATGACTGGGATAAAAAGTCAGTTTGGTCAGTTCAGGGCATTTCAAGAAACTTAGAGCCTTTTAGGTCCCAGGCTAACTCTGTGCCAGTTACGGGATTATATAATAACTTGTTCCAATATCATTAATGAATGAATTAATACATGAATGACACCAATTTACACTCAAGTGCAACAACCACACCCTTAATATTTTAATAAACAACTATTTAATTGTCACTTAATAAAACAAATCTTCATAATCAGCACAAATCAATTCTAATCACAGTTCAAATAATTTAATGTTATTATAGCACAACTTTTAATTAAGGACTTAATTGTATACATAACTTAAAACAAAACTGACATATTACAATCATTTAATAATTTCTAAAATATGATATAGTATTGTAGTTAAGTAGCATAAGTATAAAAGTATATGATAGTAGTTAATCAGTGTAAACACAGTAATAACTGCACATTGGAGAGGTGCAATGGTGGTGATATCTTCAGTGATCTGTGTTTTCTGAATAGTTTCTCCATAGCTTAAACCCACGGTCAATTATCTAAAGAGAAAACAGAAAATTATATATATATTAAAAAAAAATACAATCTTTACAAAAAATGTCATCAATCTGAGAAATAATTTTACCTCGACATGCTTTTGTTGACACACGTCTTCAATGGATAAGGGATCATGAGTTTTGCGGCGGTGCAATGGTGTGTCCAAAACCAGAGTCTCAAGACATTGGTGGCTGCCAAGAAAACACCCAAACATGCACAATGCCAAGTAACAATCAGTCTTTTGTCTCCAACAAACAAATGAATATTAATTAAAAAAAAAAAAAGTTATACATGATTGTTTTAATGCACCTGGCCGAGGTCATTCTGCTCAGAGGCTGGGGACATGAAGGTCGGTTATTCTGGGAACTTCTCGGCTGTTTCGGAGAGCAGAGAGGTGGCTGGTTGGTTTGGCTCGTCTTCTCTTGTTTGGAGTGAATGACTGGAAGCAGCTACGGAAGAACAAGAGCGGAAAAAATCTCTCACTGATAACTCATTTCATAAAACATATGATTTACATCCAAACATGTAGTGTGGCAGTGTCATGCTCACAAATAACCACTGTACGCTGCTAATTTGATTCAGTGCGACCTGTTGCCATGGTGGTCTCCAAAGAAAAAAACAAACGTTAAAGGCAGATAGTGTGTGACAGCTACGTGTTAGCTTCCATAGAGCTCTGTGGTGTTGTGTTGTGTTGTGGCTGGTTTGTGTTACTAACCAAATCGCGGTCTCCTCGCTCCTCCTGCCAGCACAGTGAGTCTGTCTCCCTGTCCAGCAGTCTGGACCAGAGTTAACAGCAAGCAGAGAAAAACAAACCCCACTCAGTTTAAAGAGCAGTTGAAAGACTCCTTCAATACGCTTCTGATCTCGTCTCCTCATTTGTACTTAAATCAACTCACAGAAAAAGGTTAAATTATCCATGTCAGTGCATCATTTCCTTTATGATTCTGCCAGTTTGCTGAATTACCAACCTTTGGGAGAAAGCCATGTTGGTTAAACAAAGACCGTGCATTTGTCTCAGCCGTCTCAAGTAAATCTCTGCTTTCCTGCTCTTCTCAGGGATCTCAGGGATAATCTGGAAAAAGCAGTAAAACATGAGCATTTCCTTCTGTTGTTCCATGCTGGGCTACCAATACACTGTAACTAAAAGAGGCAACATTAATGGCTGACCTACCAAATCAGGCATCTTGCTTTGGAAGTTCCTCATAATGTTTGGCTGTAGGGTTGCAAATGTGGGAGCTTTCATCTGTGGGTGGCACATATTACATTCATCTATCATTTCCTAGTTCATTAATCATTTTGTAATTTAAAAGGAGACACCCCTTGTATACGAGCTGAGCTAACCATGGAGTAAAAGTCAGAGGTGTCATAGCCAGTGTCATTTCCCACAGTCCCAGTGTCCCATTTGGCGCCTCTCTCTCCTCCTCCAACACCCCACCCAGCGCTAACTGTCACACTAGACCACTTCCTGATGTGGGACTGCAGCACTGTGAATTAATGTTATTTATCTATATGGTAGTATATAGATCCCCCAGCCCATTCCCCCTATCTCCATGCAGGTGCAACTCAAATAAACCTCAGAGAGTCTGTATTCACTTTGCTTTGCTTCCCTTTAAAGCTTAAAGGACCATAACAGAGTTATTGCATGTTTTAACCCATTTACTACAAATCAGACCACCACTGGTTTCCATTTTACCCAGTAGAGTATGAAAACTTTATGAGACACTAACTTGCCAAAGTTATGATGTTACTGTCAACACACTCAGCATTGTTCCATGATGATGTAGCTTATGAGTGTAGATTAATTTGAAAAATATAAAATGTAATTCGACAATAACATATCTTTGGCTACAATAGGTGCATATATATTGTTCACTGTGATTTAATACCTAAGAAAATCAGTTTCAAGTCTCTACAAGCTGATTTTCAAATTGAATTAAATGGAAGCCATATGGCAACCTTCATGTTGTAAAAAAAAACCTGCTTTGAAATGTCTGAGGCACTTTGGAAAACAGTTATATAACGTATTGTAGTAAATGGACTAAAAGATGCACAAACACTGATAAAATTCTTTAATTAATTCTCATTAACTATATCAAAATATAGTGGATTAAATGATTAAATAATCAAAGAAAAAACCAATGTAAGGTAGTACAGAGTGATTAAATTGTATATGTGAGGTAAATAAGAAAGTAGAGCAGAAGTACCAATAATCAAATCCTTTACAGCATTATTATCCTCTAATTTATTCTTTCAGTTTTTAAGTCAACTGCATCAGTAACTAACTTATAACTTATTTATGACAATCTAACTAAATATAACTATAGCAAAACAAAATACTTTACTTATTGCAGTGATATAATAGTGATAGATAGATAGATAGTGGTTATCTCCTGACTTCAAAACTGTTCCCACACATACGTAGTGTGGGTGCCTCACTAACACTCAAAGCCTGAACCCTGGGTTGACACCCATAAGGATGGATGTCAATAGGGGTGACAGGCCTCTCCGGCAGTGGAGGATCTGAGATGTCAGTACGGAGCTGCGGTGAGTAATGTTCCTGCATGCCTGCTGACTTTGACCAGTCTTGTCTGACCACTGTTTGCCTTCCCCTGCTCTCCCTCCAGCCAGACTCATCCTCTGTTTGCTCAGTCCCATTTTGACACACAGGTGAGAGAAAAATGAGTCCTGCATGCGTGTTTGTATATGCTCACCTCAGCACCTGAGCATAACCTCAACTCCAGTTCTCTTGCTTTACCAGCCTCTCTGATATCACTTTAAAGATTTGAAGTAATGCTCGCTATACCTTTATCACCTTTTAATATTCTCTTTGTTTTGCATATAGGACTTAGCGATGAAATTACAGATGAAACTAACTGAACACTGCTCGCGTCTGTATTTGCAAACCTGGGAATGAGAACGGGCTGTGAAGTGTGTAGGAGAAACTACGGTGGTCGTAAAACTCGCAGAAAAAAGCGCAAGGACCTATCTGCAGCTAGTATTTGGTTTGTCCGTTCTGAGCTACTGTAGAAACATGGCGGGTCAACATGGTGGACTCCACTGAAGGTGACCCACAGCAGGTACACTTTTATTCTCAGCTGATAGGTGGATTTTGCTACTAGCAGTTTCCCCATGTTTCCAGTCTTTATGCTATGCCAAACTAACTGGCTACTGGTGGTAGCTTCAGACTTACTACACAGGCATGAGAGTGATATCAGTCTTCTCATCTAACTCTTGGCAAGAAAGCAAATAAGCCCAGTATCTCAATGTTTAATATTCAGTTTGTTGTGTGTACGAGGACACTTGGTGGGAGAACATTGAAGAATTGAGTAAACAAAAAATACAGATTATTAAGCCCACAGTAATATATCTTACAGCTAAAAAGTGTATTGCACGGGTTTGTGCATGTTGGTTTGAGGAGGCAGTTGGGTGATCACTGCTCCAGGTGTGTTTGTCTCTCACAGCCATTGTTAAGTGGGATTACTGCTCCTGTGGTTTTGACACTAACCTTGGGAAACATTTGCTCAAATTCGTCCTCCTCCTGGCTGCCACTGAAGATCAGCTCAGATGAACTCTCCTCTGGACCAGACCTGTGCTCTAATAACCTACACACACACAAAATTAGTCAGTTTTACAGCTGGAAGAACAAAAGGCCATCTACAGGAAATTGTACTTTAACCTAATGGATAACGATTGAAGAAAACTGTGTCAACCCTTTACAAATGTGTAAAAACATCTCTATTATTGGGTGAACTTGCTTGAAGTTGTGATGTGTGACCTGCACACAAAATGTCGGGTTGTTAATATATTCCTAATGGTGTGCTACTTCTCAAGAGCAGCCATAGTGTGGTGCAGCTCACACCCAATAACACTGCGCACTCGGGTGACAACACACTTTGTCTGCTGGGTGCAAACTGGCTCCGGGGAGGACTCCTGAGCAAGGCAGCGTTTACTCACAGGACAGTGCAGCAGGTAACAGATCTATACAAACCCCACGAGCTGCACAGAATGAGTATGTAGACCTGTGCACTCATGTATGTACAATATTGGTGCTGACATGTTGACAGGTGACACTGTAGAAGCTTGAATATGAAAAACTCAATAAAAATGTTGGCTAGTAGGATTCAACAAAATAGGAGGCAACTAGACCAGCCCTGTCTTATGTACATTTTCCAATTATTGAAGTCAATTTTGCAGACCTATAATGCATACTTGTGAAATTCAACATGTTGAAGAGACCATGACCAGATGGCCACAAAGATAGCAAATTACTGCCTCAACTGTTCAATAAATCATAGCAGCAGCTAATAATAAACGTATAAATAGCCAAAGCAGGACAGATTGGATGAATTGGCTCATTACTTAAAAACATAAACAAGGACTTTGCCGACTCCATATTTTGGCTTCAGCTCTAATTGCTTTTATTTTGGGTATTTCTTATGGATGTGGGGAATGTGCCCATGGCACAGCCGGGTTGGGGGCGCAGAGGGGGCCGCTGTCTCGCCATGTTTGTCTGTGGAGCGGTGAGATTTCACACTGATGGAGGACTTGTCAGCGCAAGCCTTCACTCGCGCTCTTACCAACCTCCTAATGTCCCCAAGCCAGTGTGCTGTTTCACAGTGGCAGCCTCGTACTAACATCATACATGCTCCTTCTAAACAGGGTTCAGCCCTAATTAACAACAAGGCTGACAGTGGCCGACACTGTTCTGTTATACATTCACAACATGTGAATACAAAGGACACTGGTGTGAGCAGGTGCAAAGCGTGAAAGTGGATCTGAAATACATGTCTTGGAGATTACTAAGCAAAACCAGTGGTATAGTATAATGTGTGAAATTACTATAAACTACAGCTTTTAGTCAGCTAATTTCCAGTTCTTGTGTGTTAAGATATGAAGATACATTGGCAGAAAACCCCTGTCTCTCTTATGTGTAATATACTTCAATCAATGTTCTAAGTGCTTTCAATGAAATACATTTTGCTCATCACCACTTCAACATCTTCAACAAGAAAAAGGGACATTTTCTAAAGAAACTTTGCATGTGCTCACTGCTGAAATACAGTAAAATACAGCAGCTGAAAATTTTGAAAAAAATTAAATACTTAAACAGCTAAAGTTCAATACTAAATAATTAATTAATTGATTACTTAAAGTAATTAACTAGCAGTTAAAATGGATGTGCTGAAATAAACCGAAGTTTCAGTGTAAGCACTGAATGAAGCTGAAGTGTCACTTCAAGTGTAAGTGCTAAGTGAAGCTGAAGTGTCAGTTGAAGTGGAAGAGCTGAAGGGAGTTGAAATGTCAGTCGATTTTAAGTGAAAAATTGAGCTGGAAGTGTTGGTTAAAGTGGAAGTCCTGAATAAGTGTGTAAACCTATGACAGTTACAGTGCCAGCTGTGTAAGTAAAATCTCAAAAAAAAAAAAAGTTTCTGAAGTATATGTAGTGATGAGTGGAACCACAATAAAACTCAAGTCTAACTTAAAGTCTAAGGTTTTCAGATTATCTCCTCCACTTTTTTGGCAATGGGGCTGTTTGCTTGAAAGCCTGTGAAGCTTTAAATGAGAAGAAACTCTCCAAAGAGTCCAACATCTGCTTGCAGTGCTGGCATGAAGTGACACCACTGGCCCAATTGCTATATCTCTTTTGTAGCGGACATAATTACGACATTTTTCCCTGGATGATGTCTGTCAGAGTCAAAGCGGCTGTCCTAAGAGGTGAGTATCCACAACAGCAGGGTCAGATTGTGTTTGGTCATCTCACTTCTACGTGAGTAATCAGCTCTCTCCTCCAGGAGGGTCCATGCTAAACAAGCCTCCAGTGGAGTCGGTGTTTGTTCTTCAAAGGCAGCGCAAACAGAGATCCAGAGTGCTCGCAGTTTTAGACCAGAGGCCTCTGCAGCTGAGTACCATCTCCCTGCCGGCCCACCACCAACACCAGCTGACACATAAAACCTCAGACCTGGGTCCTCAGAAATACAGAATATACTGTCAACAAACATTTTAGTGCCAGATGAACATTTTTATGTTGCTGCCTAATATTGTAGTTAAAGAAACTGAAGCCTTACAGTACATGTTGTGTCACTTTAAAGCAATAGTGTGAGCATTTGGGAAATATGCTTATTTCACTCTTGCAGAGAGTTGGCATCAGGTGAGAATAATGATCTTATGTCTGAACAGTAAGTTATAGCCAAGAGAGAAATACCCCCATAAAACCTCAACCTGACATTTTTTCACGTCATTTTATGGATTCATATTAAAGAAACAAAATATAACTTGTTAAAGGTCCAGTGTAGGATATAGTGGCATCTAGCAGTTGCAGATAGCAGCTCCCTCGCTTCGCACTCCCCTTCCAAGCACGACGGAGAAACAACGCTGGCTACAAAACACAAACGGCCCAATCTAGAACAGGTGTTTGTTTTCCTTTCTGTTCTGTTCAACAAAGCCAATAAACTTGTGTTCAATCGTTGTAATTTTGGCTGTTGAAATGTGCTGTACTTTATAAAAGGGAGAGTTAGCTACACATCACACAGGCTGTGACTTCAAGAGAAAGACGAGTGAGATTCTTGCAAGAATCCAGAACAAAGAGACAAAGTGGTCAGTATTTTAAAAAATGTCACAGTGCAGTTTACAGTGCAGACTCCACCTGGACTGGGAAATGCAGTCCTCATGTCCTCTATCTTCAGCGGTGCAGGGATGTTTTTCTGACATCTCGTATTGAGTCATCAAATCAGCTGCAGATCTGCTTTCCAGCACTGTCAGCACATACACACAACATCACATCCATTGATTCTCCATAATAGATCGTGAAAGAAGGTTTGTATATCAAACTGTAACTCAACTCATTTTCCTGACATCCTCCAGACTTTTTTGTAGCTGTGATGGGTGACGGCTATATTTGATGCAGCTATAAAAGTCCTCCAAGTCGTGGTGGGTTTTCAGATGTCCACGCTCAGCTAACTGCTTCTGGAGGTCAAAGATCTCAGAAAAAGACGACGTGACACAACAGTTTGATGAATGTCATAGAGAGGGTTGAAACATATATAATTGGCTAAAGTTAGGTATCTTTTTCATATCTTTTGGTGCAATCATACTTTCAAAACTGGGACAGAACATACCAGGTAATAGCTGGTTTTTGGGAGGGACTTCAGGTATGAGTTATTGTGCTGCAGCTTGGAGAAGGCCAACTTCTTTTGTTTCTGAGAAAGGAAGAAACGAGAAGAAGGCAGACAGACCGGCAGAGACAGAGAGTTGTGGGAATAGAGATTTAAAGTGAGCCTTCCTTGTTTCAGGGGCTGGGAAACTGAGCACACAGAACAAATGAGAAGTAAACACGCAGCCACAGGAAGCCATTAACTGCGGCAAGGACCAATTAGGCCCCAGCAGGTGTTCTTGCCTTTGCCTGCTTTGGTCCTGCCTCACCTCTGTGTCTGTGACGGTGCCTCTCGATCCAAGCTGAGGAAACAACGGGTAGTTTCATTTGCTCAGCAATTTGAAGCAAAGGATTCGTACTAGAGGGCCTCTAAAGTCCTTTATTGTGCTCTCTTTGTCTCCCCACCAAGTGCAAGTCATTAGAGAGGACAATTACATCCTCCTGAAGAAGCTCCACTTTTACAGGAGGGGAAGATAAGACAGGATCTCTCTCATGTTAGACCCCCTCCATGCAGGCACTCTCTAAAGCTTATTGCTCTTTTCACACCCAGTCAGAGACAGAGACAAGACAGTCAAAATCAAAGTCAATCACATCAGTTGCAGCAGAAGGAGAGCTATTACACAAAAACAGGAAATGGAATTTGTTGAACAAAAAGGTGAAGCAAAAAAATTAAATTATATAAATACTGTAACTTAATACCGAATTGTGAAATGTCACCATTACAAAATAGTGTTGATATCTAAGCATACCTCTGAATTCATAGTATTGACATACTTTACTTTGAAAATCCTCTATTTGAATTTGTGTGGTTTCAATTCCTCTCTTTCAAATTTTGAGAAAGTACTACAAGAAAACGCTGACTTAAACGTATTTTTAAGTGCATAATGCAAAAAATCAATATACTTATAATAACAATATATCAAATGACAGTTTGTTTCCGCTGCCCCTAAATGATCAAACTCAGATAAAAAATCAGTTATTGCACATTTAAGTTACTAACATGTAGTTTTTCATTTTTGGATCTTAAAATTCAAGTTAAGTGAGGTTGCTTTAAATTGGATTGGTGAAATGAAGACACCAAAGTCCATGATTCGGTTTAATAATGATCAATCAAGCCTGAATGGAATCTGTCAGACCGATCAGGTTGTGTTCTGTTAGTCACATGATTTAAAACATTTGTCCAGATGAGTGAATGACTGAATTTATAATCCTGAAAAAAAGGTTTTTGAAAAACTTGAGATGACCTTAATGAAATTAAGAATATAGATATACAGATAACATATTTTAATGCTATGAACTCAGTTGTATTGAAGTTTCAACAATTATTCAGTAGTGATTGAATTTCACAATTGGGTGTTTTATTGTTTATAAGATTCAAATCATTACAACCCTTCTTTGCTTCCACAGAATTAAACAATGTATTAACTACTCAAACATCACATGCAAATCATTTGTTTAATCTGCTGTATGTTAACATGTGACTAAAGCAGGTTCATACATACAATAGTTGCTACTGAAGTCACATTCATCAGCAGCGTTAGCCCACTATACTGCCTCTACTGTGCAAGACACGGAGGCTCACAGTTAACTGCAGATGTTGATTGTTTTAATGCTATGCATGTCACTTGAGGAGTAAAAGAGAAAGTGAAGGTGTCGGAGTCAAAACAGGGAGGCTTTGATTTGCAAGGTTGTGTATTTGAGCCCAGACTGAGTGCAGTATAGTGGCCTGTGGGCCAAATCTTACCCCCCTTTAACTTTCATAGTTTACATCAAAACTTTTCCTACTGTAGATAACAAATGTAAATTTAAACAGAGCATGGTGCTGAAATAATCAATCTAGTAAAGCTACCAGATGAATAACATGAATGAATAATGCTAAAGATAATACAATGCACTTCATTTAAATGAAACACAACCACATGAATCCAAACACAGTTATAATTACAAAGTGTGAATAATAACAGATTTTTTTTTTCACAAACAAAAAGGAATTTAATTCAACCATAAATCCAGTAGGCCATTGTTTATTCTGTGTGAATAAACTATAAATTACATATGCATATACCTTCACATGACCCCTAGGGGCCCCCTAAAACTCCCAATTAATTTCATGTCAGGTGGTTTTTGCTATTTTGCTTGACTGCAAACTAAAGATGAAATTAAATAATACAATTTAAATTAATATAAAATAGTGTAATCAAATATAATAGTATGAAAATATAAAATTAAACAATCATGCCACAATTAAGGCTCGTATTGCATTATTAGCTGATTTCAGTTTAATGCATATTTCAAGCATTATAATTTCAGATCAACACGTAGCCTTTAAGCAGATATTTTTGTCCCCACAAACTGTAATAGGTTGTAATACAAACCCTGCACATGACTCAAATAAATCTCCCAGTGTGTCACTGTTCATATTTAATGATTTACCTGCTTAGTGTCACTCTCTGACTTTGCTCTGGCTGTCTCATCTCTCTGCTTTAGCACTAATCTCTGCAAGTGGACCTTGTCTCTGAGCAGGGCAGCATAGCGGCGATAGAGGGCATTTCGGAGACGGTGCATGTTCCTGTACGCCTCTAGATGGCGCTGGAAGATAAACAAAGAAAATGAGGGACTCCAACTGGGAGGGATATTACCTTTAAATAAGAACCACCTTGGAAGTAGAGAGCAGTGTTTCAGTATTTACTACAGATGAGGAGGTGATGAAAGTGTTGATTACTGATCAAAGAGCAGATATTTCTTTATACACTTCTCTTATTGCATTATGTTGCCGTTTCTGTTGATTACTAACAGCAAAATCAGTGTCTAAGTGACTTTGAAAGTGTATCATTGGTGTCCGTCAACCTGCTCCAGCTGAGCCTGACGTCTGGCTTTGGCCTCTTGGTCTAGGTCTGGACCACCGTCTTGAATTCCTCCCTTCTTCCTCCAGGGCTCAGCTTTGACTGCCTCCCCTGCCTATCAACAGTAAAAACCCAATTTAGATCCTGTGGGAGTGAAGCAGTTAGCTGGCCTGAAGATTAAAAAAAGAATGCATTTTTGGTAATCCCTCTCTTCTGCCAAGAGCAACCTCCCACACAACAGCCTGACATTGTGTTCTTGCAATGCCCAGCCAAAAAAAACCTGATATACGCATGGAGGAATATGCCCACCTCCTCTCCTACAAAGCCCTCACCTTATTTCCGGATCTTCAGCATGTCTGTAGGAAACAATTTCGTAAGGCTATGACTGCCATAAGTACACTATTAGGGCAAAAGTATCCTCATTTCACCCTGATGAAGATTGATCCCCAGCAGATGTGGCAGAGGGAAGCTTTAGGGACAGATTTGAACTACTACATCTTGAGATTGAGCATGTCACCAAAAAAATGCAAGGCTAATGGGAGTAACAGCATGCATGCCAAAGCAGATTAACTGCACATAAAAACATGGATGTTTCCTTTTATATCCCTTAAATGAGGAATAAAACATGCTTGAGCTTTTATGGGAGGACTGTACTCTCTGATCTAAGTCTTCTCTCTGAGGTCGCCTTGTCTCTGGGAAATGCTTGTTCTTAACAGGCTGCCACTGAATGACCACATTACTAAACTTTATGGGCCGAGCCTGTTCAGGAAATGTCTGCTTTGTCTTTTCTCACAAAAGCTGCTGGAAACACAGGATTTATCAGTTCCGTTGCCACAGTAATAGTGTCGTGGCAGAGCAGAGGGACCTGCAGTTCTTTGCTCTCACTGCTGTGCGCAAAGTGTCAGTGACGGGACGAAGGCAGCATCCATCTGCGCTCCCTGCCACTATAAATCAGGGGAGGATAATGCAGCTGTCCTGCTGAACCACGTCACTCTGCTAGACAGCCATCATGATATCGCAGGGAGGTGGACAGAAGCCTGCAGCCATTCCATTTTTTTTTCTCCTCCTCTTTTTTTTATTCTGGATCCAAAAAGGCAGATGGGATTGGCGGATGACAGACATTGCAGACAAAAATAGAAAATAAAGACATGTGATGCTGCAGGTGTAAACAGAAACAGTTTGTGGCAGAGGATGAAAAGGCAGAACTGAAAGGAGAGACCTACAGCATGGGGTGGAGTTAACAACTCCAAATGAAAAAGACCCCAAATGGCAGTTTGGAGAAAGTGTTTCCACTTGTAACCAAGCCGACCGTCTCAACTGCTGCCAGCTCCTGCTTCTTTAAATTCTACTTTTCCCTATTGAATTAAAGTATTTGAGCTACTCCAGACATAATAATGCAGTTCTCACCCCCAGGACAGACACAGTCATGAATAGCTCGGCCTCAGGCCTCAATCAGACAGCAATGAATACCAGAGAGAGGCACATAAACAAGGCCACAATTGAAATGACACAATAGGGGAGGATTACACAACTTTCGGTCACTGAGCCAGCAGATAATATCATCACAGGGGCCACGGAGAACCAAACTGGGTCTTGGTACACGCTGTACTGGCTCAGCCATGATCTCAGTCACTGTAACATGCCACAATAAAACCACTTTGTGACACTGAATGGGAACATCTATTCAGGACAAGATGCTTTATTCTAGCTTGTTTGTTAACTCACATGACGTAAATGAGATATCTGTAATGTCCTGTACTGTACCACAATAAAAAACTTGTACTAGGACACATATGATTAATTACTCTGTTTATCCATTCCTGAATAAAATGTCATTTAACAGGATAACATCGGGGTAAGATATGAAACTTTCAGTGCTGGTGAGTGGGTTATTTAAAATACCTTTCTGACAGCAACAGGTAATAAGTGTGCATCCGAAATAGAGGGCAAAGTGCTTGATTGATGAAGGGCTTTGCTCTCAGATCTCATGGCAAATCCACTAGTGAGGAAACCTTAAGAGAAAACAGGCATGGATCGCTGAAAAACAATAATGAAGGAATCCATACTAAGAAGTAGTGATGATTTGGCATCAGTTTCCAAAATGATATCAAACGACAGTGTCACCTGAGGATATAGAAGTCATTTTTCTAAAATATCTTACCAGTTGTTGGTGCGGGAGCTTTAGAAACACACTGCAATGTCTCAAACATAACACTCCTCTGTCCAACTTTAAAGTGCACCACAGTCTAAGTAAAACTCTGGTTACCAAGTTACAGAGAACAATACAGGTTTAACAATGAGTTAAACCTTATTGCAGGTCACTGCACACATTTTAAATGTGTTTGTGACCCTGCATGGAGATTTAATTTGTGTCTGAGGCTTACATGTGGTTGCTGTTTCCTTCAGAGTTTCCCATGACTGGTTTAATGATCAATACAAAAAAATGTAGTCAACTGAAGTGAACCAGCGAAGAAGCCAAAAGTGTCTTGATGGCTTGAATTCTTGTTTACTTTAATGTTTGTTTAATTTGTTGTTGTTTTTTGCTGAGAACAGTCATACACTGGTTTGTTTCGAAGTCTCTGACCTTCTCTTTCACCCTGAGAATGAAGTTCATTGCCACTTATAAAATAAAAACATGGCTCTTTGTTCCACATGAGTATGGGAATGTCAGACTTAAGCTGCCAGTTCAAACTGGGAATACCTTTGCTGCAAATCATACAGTTCTGGCACTTTGAATGAAAACATCTCCCAGACTTTGGTAGCAACACTATCTATCTCTAGTAGCTACATGCATTGTTTTGTTTGATAACAAAAGTAAAGCAGATTGGAGGTAATTTCCTGAGGGGATCATGCACCTGGGCCCTACAGTACTCTGGTCAACCCTGCTTAACAGGAAATCTAAGAAGCTTAGACCACTAATGCCCAAACGGCCCCAGGTAGTTACAGTGGCAACAAAGAGCCTTTAAAATACCGTTTGGGAACTGGCCAGAAATGTAAAAGAAATCTAAATGACTGCAAATCAGCATCATGTAACAGAGTTATTTAAGAGGCACAACACAAATGAGCTTTTAAAAGATTTAAAAGGGTCAGTGACACTTGCATAATTAAAAAAAACAAAACATTTTACTTCAGATGTCATAAAATCATCAGCTGAGAAAAACGTTTGACAGTACAAATATTTAGTAAATATTAAATACTGTACATCACTGATAAATCCCTACAAAGGATATAACCCCTCTTATTAGAGGAAACATAAACAGTCCAGTTTGGTTTCAGCAGCAGGCGCATATAAAGCCCTGTTGTTGACAGCGTATTGTTCTCCAACACAAAGGAACGGTTTGCGTCCCTTTAAGCAAAACCCCTCTGCCAATCCACAGGCGCCCCACTGAAAACTAAAAACATGTGCAAAAGGACGAGAATATTAAGGTATTCAGTTCAAACTTCAACAAAACATTGGTTAGGCATTAAACTCGCAAAGCAACGTCCCTGTGAACCGTAAGAAGCACTGTTGGATGAGCCACAGGCTGGACTTGAGCTTTGAAATCTTATTTTTTTAAAGTGAATATCAAATTTTATCTTATTCCAATGCAATTTACTCATCTGTTTATTTTATTTTCTTGAATAAAGTGTCAGTTTCTTTCTAGTTTTAGTACATTATTCCGAAAGAAACTAACATTCCTTTGGAGGCAAGTGGATTTCCTCCCCTCATTTGCAAGCGTTTCATTTACAAGACTCAAATTTAAGATGCCATTGCAGCAGGCCTACACCTGCACATTTTTTTTCGACGAGTCCATCATCTCTGCTCTCAGTCTGCTGAAAAACGTAAGATCAAAAGTCAGGTGTCAGCAGCCTTTAAGGTGCGGGAGTGCAGAAAGTTTGTCCACTTTTCCCAAAGCAGCGGCGTTTTCGACACCTTTGAGCCACTCTTTACATTTCCTCACAACAGTCTCATCCACGTCTCCATCCTCTTCCTCATACTCCACATCGTCGTACTTGTATTGATCGTTCAAAAGAGATATTTTAACGATGGCGGTGATGTCCTGCTCGGCACTCTCCACTTTGGCGACGGGAGCGCAGCCCTTGGATCCTCCGTGCGCCTTTTTGGAAGGAAAAACCCGCCTGTGCCGAAAGTCCGCGGAGGCGCAACACTTCTGTTGCTTTGCCATCATCTGCTTTTCCAGATTTCGTTTTTGGATGACAAGTATGGCTTCAGGGGTTAGGCTGAGGGTAAATTGGATCTCCTTCTTCCCGTCCTCTCTGCCATGGAGGTGTCTGGTGGAGTCCATGGAGCTGGAGCGCCTGACTCCTTCGGAAGAGTCCTGAGGTTTGGGCACCGTCAGCCAGGAGCATTTTCCCTGGGTCTCCTGGCCGGCATCCTTCTTCTGAGTCGGGCTTTTACTCTTCTCTTGCTGGGCTTTTCTCCCCAAATTCCTTAAATTCGCCGATGTCCAAGAAATGGACTGCTTCTCCTTATCGGACCCCCCTTTCTCTCTGCCGGATTTGCTGGTGAGCTCAGTCTGAGGAGGCACTCCGTTGGCTTTCTTTTTCCCGAATAGATCCCTGCCAGGAGAAGAGATCCGCTGGTGGAGGCTGATAGGCGGAAAAGGCATTTTTTTGTGTGGCTGGAAGTGATCAGGATATAAAAACGTGCAAGTGTTCAAAGTGCAGACGAGGAAGCCCTGCGCAAAGCGACGAGCGGCGCTCTGCGGGCATTATCCAGCAGCGGGGTGGAGAGAGGCTGAAGTGCACCTGTTGTCCACGCTGACTGGAGTTCAACTGGTGCACACACACACACAGCCTGGCTGCTTTATGGTCGAGCCGGCAGGAAGGCGTGGTCAGGAGGAGCACCAAACAAAGCCACGAATAAACTGTGGTGATGTCATTTCATAATTTCCAATAACTTCCTGAAGCGATGAACCACATTCACCCTCATGTTCCTGTCGTCTTTCCTCACAGCGCCTCTGTGCTGTGTTCCAGTCATTGGACCAGTCACATACTCAATTCATTTAAGACAATCAGCCTGAAAAATGTTAATAATCCTCAAGAAACCGTGGGATAGTGAGTGGATGAATACATTTTTTAAGTGGCCAAATGTGTATGTGGTTTTATTCAATGTGACTCATTTCTGTTTGTTTAGAATTAATTGCAACTTTAAACGAAAAAAAACATTCTTAATTTTAGTCTATCTACATTTTTACAAAATTGTACCTCAAATGGTAAATACATCAAAACTGCAACAAAATTTTATTTTATTGTTTTCATATGAAAGACACAGCCTGTCCAGACACAAAATGAAGATTGTGTAGAATTTCTCATCTATAACTCACATTTTTTTTAGTTAAAGTAGTCCTATAGCTGTTGATGCCTCCCTATACCTTACATGTATATGATCATAAAAACACTGGTCTTTGGTGCTTAAAGATAACCCTGCCTGTCCTTGAACCAACAAAACATGTCACTGGCACAATGCAGTTTGATTTTATCCTTTGAGTCAATATAGTCTCGAATGTCAATTAACTGATGTATGTACATGGCCCATTGCTGTTCTTTCAGCCATGTAAGCCTATATGAAAGATATCTAGGGGAGTATACAAATAGTCCACACTATTGATTTCTCTTCCTTTCTGCTGTTATCTGCACTTTCAGCCAGACAGATCCACAATTGATTCAATGTGATTTTGTTTCCCTCAGTGTAGAATTTAAGAGGAAATCAATACTTGCTTCCACATCTATAGTTTTTAACTCGGTTTATTTGATATCGCCTGAGGAAACATTTTGCCAGTTGCCTTTTATTCAGCTGCTCTTGTGATTACCATATCCACCATATCTATATGTGGCAATTCCCATTAAATGAGACCAGAGCTGTGTTTTTGTAGCACAATATTTTAATGTACTCCTTTAACAAAACTCAAAAATCAATTTAGGCCACCAGTCCACTGACTCACTCTTGGAAAATAAAATTGCAAGGAAATTACGCATGACACAACACAAGCGTAGTTATTTATTCATTTTTACAAGATGAGCTGGGTCATTAAGCCGGAGAGAGGACACACAGACGTGTTTCATTTCAGTGCTTGTTGTGGTGTGGGATCCCTCTTCTCTCTGACATAACAATGGATTAGATGTAATGAAGAGGAAACTGTTGGGAGACTCTTAACAGATTGCCAGGGTCAGGGTGCCTTCCCCTTCAGCCTCAAAACTTCGCCGTAATCCCAAAAATGGCGAGCAAAGAATAAATATCACAAAAAAACAACCCCACTCCTTCACTCAACAGAATTGTTTTATGCCAAAGATTAATTGCTTAAGGATTTGCTGGGTCTCAGCCAAGTTAGTTGAACAAGTAGTGCTGAGGGGAGATTTTGTCCGTGCTAATCCACCACCACTACATTATACAAGCGTCTAATGAAACTATGTGGGGGCAGCACATCAGGAAGTGCTCTTATTTAGGAGCATGAAGCAGAAAGAAAACCTGGAGGCATGTTTGTTAAACCTTGAGCTAATCCTGCAGCTCATACACAGGAAAACAGGGTGTGTTGGGACTTTATATAGGTGGCTATTGATGCCATATTTAAATAACAAACTGTTTCAAAACATTTTTCTTTCACTTTCAAAATCTATGGTGAAATCCATGACTGACTCCCATTCCAAGGTGTTCTATAAAAAAAAAAACACACATACACACCTCCTCATCAGGATAATTTGAACATCTGCACTACAGATGGGGGAAGGCTGAGGTTATGATCTTCCAGAGGAGGTTGTCATGACAACCGCATCCTCAAAGGCTATGCCATCATACCGAAGCAATATAGGGAACCTGATGCAAGCTATACTGGGTTATTAGGTCACGTCAAAACCACAATGCTCAGAAAGGCGTAATTAACTGGGTCATTGCTACATCTGGCAGGGAATCGAGTCTAAAAAGGAGAAGCAATTTTAATGTAATCTGATGAGCTGGGGGGGGGGTAGGTGTGTTCAAATACACACTGAGGACTAACAGACTAGACAGGGGCTGCTTTTCTAAAAAAAAAAAAAAAAAAAAAAAGAAAAATCTCTTTAGCCGGAAAAACCTCAAAAGAACCATCATATATCCCAGTGCATTATCTATGAAGCAGTGCCTCAATTGCCTAAGGGGAAAATAATCATAAATAAACATGGAAGCGCATCAGGGAGTCTCTTTATACATCAGTGCCTCAAAGACAGACGACAGAAAGACAATGTGTTTTAATAATGTTTGTGAGTAAGAAAGCAAAACACCATCCAGAAGGAAATGGAATTTCACACTGTTTAAGATGTAATTGTGTATGGTTGGTCGATATGTCAACAGATCTCTTCATATTTATAATGTTCAGGCACTTTATGTTGTAAATAATGTATTGCAAAGTCAAAATTATTTCCCTGCACTTAAATGGTATAAAATCCTCTGAAAATATAGGCACATCTTTAAATATATTAAGCATTAAAGGCACTCATGTCTCTCACAAACAAAAGCAAAAGTGTTATAATCTGATTACAGTTAGAGATCTTCGACTAGACTTAAAAAGCGAGAATTCACAGTATGAAAAAGCCATAGTAAAAATCTGGAGATATAGTGTATAAACAACATAGATGTATATTTTACAGAGCCACCATTCTTGCAGTTTGCATATTAGGACCAGTCTTCAATTCAAATTGTTGGTCAGAGACTCCTAACTCAGACAGGTTGTGAAGCATTTCATCACAGCATCCCTGTAGGGAAAAAAAACAGACAAAAACAAGAGAGAAAATGTCTCAATACCAGCCAGCACAATAAACAATGAAATAAAGAAAAAGAAATGTTGCTTGAGTGTTGTTCTAAAACTGAACCAGGAAAAAATAAACACAGCGGGAGCAAAAGTCTGTCATGTGTATAAAATTAAAAGCGACATAAAAAGCACTTCCATCCTTTGTTACGATGATTTGGGTGGGGCTCGTCATGAATAAGTGAGTGTGTTTTGTTGGGGAAGCACCACATGTTCGGCGTGATGGGGGCTCCCTTTCTCCAGGTACTCTGTTGACTGGGATGATGCAATAAGAGCGATCTCCATGGTTACCCGTCGTTGCCTGCTCGGCCCCCCCCCCACACACCGTTTTGCTCTTGCCATCGGTGTGTTGCTATGCAGACTTCGCCTGCAGCCACAGTCAAATTTCGGTGGAGGAGGTGTGAAACCCGTCAAGGTTAAAAGGAGAAGGGGGGATCATAAGCAGTCTGTGGGAGGAGGGGAGGTTGGCGGACAGACAGGAGACTTGCTCCTTCAAATGCTCTGGTTTGTCCCTCTGATCTCTGATGTATCAACAATAAAAACACTCATATTCTTCCTCTTGTACAACTTTAGTTTTGTTTATATATATATATATATATATATATATATATATATATATATATATATATATATATTTTCACATGAGGCTTGATGCTATTTTTGCTTCTTTTAAAACTTAATGAATAAATGATCAGTCTGAGCGACTTCCCCCCCCACCCCCATTTCTGATTAAATATCAGAGCAACAGTAGCTCTAAGGCACTGTGGGAAGTGCACATGCAGCAGGTTTTAGTACCTTGGTCTACAGGCAGGAGTGGTTATAAATAGGCAACAAGGTAAAATACATTAAAGGATCAAGTCCATTGGCCATGTGGTGTTGTGGCTAACCAGGTATCACGGTTTATTTGGTCATAGACAGGAATGGGGAGAGACTGCAGTCTAATGTTTTTTAATATGTCACTTAAGAGGGATAGAGGTCTGTGATAAAAAAATATCCTGCTGCTCTCTAACAACATACAATACAGAGCTAAATTATCAAATCTAAATTAAATGAAAAATGGATTAAAGTAAGAAGCTTAAGGAGGGATGACAATAATGTGTTGACAGGAAAACACAATAGGACAAAAGGAGTAGGAAATAAATAAGTTTTCATCAGGACTTCAACAATCAGCCCAAGAACTAGTTGTCAAATTTGCATTTCTCCAAAGGAATTTGGTTTTTGGAGGGGTGGCACGGGAAAAGGTCTTTGTCTCCACTTTGTATTGTTGTTAGCATTTGGTTTGGGGGAGGGGGAACTTGGGGTGGTTATAGGACGTCTCTCAGCTGTCAGGATGGATTATAGGGTCGCCCGTATACACAAGGCACTTAGTGGGGGGGCTGCATGGGGGCTCTGGACCTCATCAAATGAGACATAACCCTGCTTACAGCTGGACTGACAAAACAACATCACACCTCATGCTAGGCTTAGGGAAAGCACTGAGGTGGTACACCATTTGAGACTATTAGAGAAGAGAACATCTGAGTACTGCCATGAAGTATTAGGCTCTATATTGCACATGACATACAACAACAAACAAACCAACAAACCTGGCATAAAGACCATTATGTGATTGTGAGATTTTTATCCTCGTATTATGCAGGACAGCCTACTTGGGTCTAAATCTAATCAAAAATTTGCATTGTGGTTTAACCCTATAGAGCTTAATATAAGCTCATCACAAGCTACAGAGACATATTTTGGTAAATCTGGCCTAAAGAGCATTATTCCATAAGAAATGGTTTCATTTAGATATCGTGGATAAAGCAAATAACGTCACAGGGCAAAAGCACACAGGAGTGTGAAAAAACAAGCTGCCATTTGTTTGACACCAAGTGCCTGCACTAGTCATGGGGAGGGGGGGATTACAGCCATATGGTGGAGGCAAACAGTGTTAGGAGGTAAATGAAAACATGTTTTCATTGAAGGGTCGCACGCAGTATCCTCTCTATTTTGTTGTCTGGCAGTACGGTATTATTGAGATATAAATAGAAGATGTATTTAAAAGGTCTCTTTTGATAGTAGCTGGATTCTTCGACGTGGCTCAAGTGAAAGGTGTGCTCTTATAGTTAGACTCAATTCAGTAAGCATACAGCTGAACATAACATAAAAGACAGATGCAGATCAATTAAAAGTCAATGCAGAGAAAATCTTGAAAATCTTACCTGGCAAATGGAATGTAAGAGATGCTATACCTGAAACAGAAAAATACAAAGAAAAAAGGATTAATGTTTATGTTAAACAATAATTACATAGAGCAAAGTACTAACATAACAACAGAAAGTCAAACTTAACACAAGCTGGAAAAAAATGCATTACAATTAGTATTTATTTCATGTTATGTAATGAATGTGAGGTTCTTAACTTAAACTTAAGTTAAATAATGCTTGTCTGCACTTCATGGATTTGTAATTATGTGGTATCTAAGAGATTAAAAGCATAAAAAACCCAAACCCAAATAATATAAGACTTAAAACAGATACAGGACTAAATAGCAGTATAATAATGGATTTCACACCAAAATTTAAAATATGTGTTTAAATGCGCCATCAAGTAGTAATCACTGGACCGAAGGGTCTTTGATGTCACTCAGAAAGAGGATTAACCAGACGTGACTGTGAATGAAGTGGATACACAGTAATCTTTGTACTAATGACGCTCGACAGATTGGTAACCAAACAACAAGTACAACAAAAACATGATACCCTGTACTGTACTTGTACAATGATACAGATGCAGTTTATCACAAAAAGGCCCTGATCAAACACCTAATATATATTTAAAATATGTGAGGAATCTGTGGAGCAGTTGAATGATTAACCACAGCCCAAGCGTGAGCATGACCACCATCTTGTTTGACCACGAGTTAGCAGGAATCCCTTGTACTCTACACATTTTTTAAATACATGTTCTGATTGTCTAAACTAAATGACACTAGTAAAGTTAAGTAAAAGCTATCCGTGTTTTTTATTTTAACTTCCTACTCTATCCTGAGTCAGTGTCAGCCTGTAGTGCTTCAGCGTGGTCACCTCATAGGACTGGACTATGCCCACCTCTGTGTGTGTGTGTGTGTGTGTGTGTGTGTGTGTGTGTGTGTGTGTGTGTGTGTGTGTGTGGGTCAGTGGCGACGTCTTATTACAGAACCACCTTCACACACAGACTTCTGAGTGCCTGCGTAGGAGTGCACTATGCCCCCCAGTCTGTTAAGAATGAGCTCGGGCTGTGTGACTTGTGGTTTCCATGGTGATGCCTCTGAGAACGCAGGCAGAGCGGAAATGAATGTACTACATGTAGGTGCAAAAATGTAGTTACGAGGGTGACACAGTCCCGCTCGGTGATGCACTGACCGTTCCCTTCCTCCTGGGAGCTGCTGGGGCTTTGTGTTTCCATGCACATTCGCATTCACCGAGTGTCTTTTGTTACTGCTGTGCAAATATGTTCGAATTAATGAACATACAAGTGCTGACATGCCCGTAGACATCACTCACAGGTCTTACTATTCACTGCCATGTTGGAACTTAACCCCACTGACCTTATTACGATATGTGCTTTTTTTCCTCAATCAGCTAATCTCAGTTATCTGCAGGATTCAGAAAGCCACATTTAAGACTCTCACCTGAATTTTAAACTAGTATGAACACCAGGGCTGCGACTAACAATAATTTACATTATTGATTTGGTCGAATATTTTTATGTTTCATCAATTCATTGTATAGTCAAAAAAATATTAGAAAATAAGAATGTACGTCACAGTTTCCCAGAGCCAAAGGTGATGTTTTGTCCAAAACTGAAATAATCTACTTATAATCTTAAAACTGAGAAAAGCAGAAAATCCTCACATTCTGAGAAGCAGAAAACGGAGAATGTTTGGCATTTATCTTCATAAATGACTAATTCTATTAATCAATTATCAAAATTCTTAATAATCAATTCTCTGTAGATTGACTACAGCCCTAATGAATAGAAATATCATGGCAAAACCATGTTTTTTTCAACTCAACACAGCTTATAAAAGCTTTTTAAACTAGGCAGTGTAAAAAACAGAAAGTCTAACAAAGCAGATGTAATGACAAAAAAACTCTTTGAATACAACAATAAAATCTAACTGATTCTCACCTATATCTTGTACACACTAAGTAGAACACAAAGTTGTTTAGGTCTTCTTTTTAAATACTTATCAAACTAATAAAGGACCCAGGGGTGATGTGTATACTCACTGGACCAGTCACCTGTGATTTTAGTAGTAGTAATGACCCCAGAGATAGCTGGCAGAGACTTTGTCTTGTGTGTAAACAACACAGACGGAAATAACTGTCTGCCTGTACGTCTCCAAGTAGGTCCACACTGATCCTGGATCCACGTCTTCCTCTACAGGCCAAAAATATTCTGACCTACTATGATGCCTGGCAACCTACCTAACAGTCTACTTACAACGTGACTGACAGATGCCACTGAGGGAAACTAGGGCAAAACAATGTGCTCAAAGTTTTCATATTGCTTTAAATGTGCATCTGATTATCATTATATCGTATGGTATGGCATGCACTCTTTATAGCTTAGTAAAAAAGCTTGAAATATCCTGAAAAGATACGATGCTCTGAAACGATGGAAAAATTCTGCTGTAGTGTGATTAAACGCGCAGTGTGACATTAATGGAGTAAGTGCAACCGTTTACAGATTCAGCCGTGCACATGCCAACAGTAGTAAGTCAGCTTAAAGCATCAGCAGTGTGATTAACTCAACTCATGGACATTTAATGCAAGCCAAAGCAGCTGGAGCAAGTTCTCTATCGTTGACAGACGGCTCCATCTGAGTAGGCGTGAGTGATGGGTAGATTAATTGCCGACTGTACTACAAGGGAGAGATGGCTCAGACTCTCAGGTCACACTTACCATGTCATTGCCAAAAACTGCAGAATACAGAAGATGATGGCCAGCCCCTTTTTATGCCACTGTAAAATACAACATAAAAATGGTTATTGTAATAGTTGAAAACTTAAGCAATAAAGACTGTAACTGGCTTTAAAACTACGTATAATCTACTTACCCAAAACACTGCACAAAGCGTTAGGACAAGGCAGAGCTGGTGGAAGAAGAAAAGAATGGTTATCTTTTTTTAAACACTTGTAAAATGACATTTGCCATCTGCCATGTGTCTGTAAGTAAGTAACTTTATCTTTGTAATCCTTTAAGTTCACAAGGTGAGGAGTACCGGATCTTTAAATTTAACCTGGCCTTATCATCCAAAGTCAAAGGGCTACAGAACTTTTATGTCCTCAAGAGTATAGGTGAAAGCAGATACAATGTAAATGCACTGTGGCCTCATGTGAAGAAGGCCACGATGCATTTACATTTTATTGTACATTGCATTGTCAGAGAGAAAATGGCATCTAATATTTACTGTATCAAGGTATGAACCAAGGTTATTATAGTTTAGTTAACTAAAGAAAAAAATAACTAGGTGTGAAAGAGCATTTTAGTTAACTGAAAAACAAAAACAAAAAACGAATGACTAACTAATGATGAAAAAATCATTACCAGTGTAAGTGTACACACCTCTTTATCTTGAGGTCAGATAGCCATTTACGACAGAAGCCGTTACAGCTCTTTCTTCAACGCACCAGACTACTTTGACATAAACAGTAGTTTTACCTCACAGAACATGGGGGTTGCTGGTTTACTGCTGCCTTGAGAGCATAGATGGATATAACGGCTTCAGTTTCTAGTCAGAACGAGCTGAGGGCAAGGTAAAGCCCTGAAAATATTCTAAACACAGCATACATTTAAACTTATATTGATTGTCTTTTAGGAGGGCCTTTTCTATTTGGCTAGAATATGTTTTTCTTCTGCCCCCTTCCATAGGAATACGTTGCCTAACTTCCATGCTGGTACTTCTCTGTACTCCTGTCTTGCTGTCCACCATCTACTGTAGGTAAACCCCACTTCAAACTAACCGTTGAAGGTCCAAAATAACGGCAAAACAGTATTTACCAGCATAACAATGGTGGCTATCAGTCTTGTTGGTTCAAACATACGCTTCAGCTGTTTTAGTGGTCCCATTAAGAAGCAGGTGCTGTAGAAGAACAAACAAGAAAAGGGTTCATTGAACTGTTAATCCATGAAATTATTGTGATCATGTTTTGTCTTCATATCAGGGGCAGGTGTATTTTCATTGTTCTCTCCAGTGAAGCCAATATTCTGTGTATATGTGTTGAAACATTTTCTGTTTTTTGAAGTGACACTGTTGTAGATGGATTGTGGATGTTAATAATGCTAGTTACCAGGGTTTTGACCAAGTATTCAAAACATGTTTGAAAATGATGAACTGTACAAATATCATCCGGGTTGTCAGCTCTGACTGACAGAATACACACAAATCACACCTCCATACACAATGAATACTCTGAAGTTTATGCTCTGGGTGGATTTCAGAACAGACCTGATACGAGTGTACACACACACAAATATCTTCGGAGTGACATCAGAATTGTGTTGCCACCATAATCAAATTTACGCTTCACGTTGCAATTATTAGAGGGTAAATATTTCATGCCCAACACCATAATGACACATTTAAAACCTCCTACATGATGCATGTGTGACGTCAGTAAATGTAACGAGACAAAGGCTTTCCCCACTGATGAGGCACGCAGCTCTGGGCTCGGCAGAGCTGAGTGGGTAGAGGGAGTCTGTGTAGCGTCACATCTGTTAGATGAGACACGAGAGCAGTCTGTGTTGACGCAGGCTCTTTCTACTGGTCTGCTGAGAGGGATGGATCCTTCTTTCTCTTTTTATATCTGCTCAATGTGACAGAGACACTAATGATGCCCATGCACACTGCTGATGAGGGGGAAGGATGACAGCATTGTTACTGCAACTACTGATATGAAAATAATGCTGTATTGTCTAGTGTCTAGAGAATCTGTCTATAAATGTAACTTTGATTAAACAGTGAAAGTTTGATTTAAAGCCAGATTCTTTTTTTTGGTTACAAAACAAAAAAATAAAAATAAAAGACAGAGATACAGTATGTTTATTGTTAGGGTTATTTTAACTGTTGTATGTTGATATAAAAGAAACCAATGGTCTCTCTGTAATCTTCTTGCATTCAAAGTCACCTAAAGAAGAAAATTGGTTTAAGATCCCTAGAATATGACACTCTCCTGGTAACTTCGGCTATGAATGCAGAAGATGACCCAGCTTCTTGACACATCTAAACCCTCTGGACATATGATACCTGAAATAGAGACCGGCCTGTCTGAAAACAAAAAAACGCCTCATCAACGGTTCACTGTCTGTCAAAGAAGTCAAAGACATCGTGATTATATTAAGACCTCGGATTATCTAGATTAAATAATCCATAATGTTGTAAAATCCAGTAGGCTGCAGATATCTAGTGAAGCCAAAATTATAATCTTACTAAATCTTACAGATTTGTATGGTATGGTGCCCTGTCACTGCGAAGGAGACATCATTTACTCAGTATTCTCCCACAGAAGTCTTGGCAAATAATAATATGAAAGCCAACACTAATGTTTGGTCTACTCATAGAGAAAGACAAAATAAACAGTTAGGAGACACAGATACACTGTCTGTTCCCACTTTAACCCAAATCATTTCCTCCTGACTTTCACATGACATACAATTAGGCATAATAATCTAGATCACAATTAAATCAACATAAACAGGCGCAAGATGTATCCTATGCAATCAGAGTACCGTCTGTTGCATCAATTGTGCAATACCTTTTCACAGGTAAGCCTGTCTGAGCAATTTTTAAAATGCATTTAGTGAAACAGTCTCTGTTTCTCAAACAAAGTTGCAAGAGAGAGCATTCACACAATTTTATGAAGCAGACTTTATGTTTACTAACCACAATATGATTGGAAAGGCAGTTTTCTATTTGTTTCAATGGTAGCAACACTAAAAAAGTATAATCCTACAAATGCTAATATGATTAAATAATGGAGATTATTGTTTTAGCTATAATCCTGTAGCCCGGAACAGTAGTGAGCACTTTACTGTAGAGGAACAAACCTTGGAGAAATGTGGAGCTGTGTCAAGAATGACTGTAACAGAGTAGCAGTCATCAAGGCCAAATGATTTCAGAGCGTATGGGCCTGATGCATCATCATGTGCTGTATTTCAGGCAGAAAATACTGGTCTTACCTGGCAAGAGCTGCGAGATTCCCTATTGTGTAGAAGACTGCGAAAAGCTTGATTCCACCTGGAAGGAACAGCAGTGCTGAACCCTGGTAAAAACAGCAACATAGTCTCCGTCAGCTACACAGAATAATGTCACCACACTCGCTAAAAGTTAAATGAAACCTGAATAAGATTGACGCTTATCTTATTTTATAAAACAAATAAACAAAAACAAGATATTCTATGGGCTGTCTTGTGTTTTTACTGAAACATTATGAGCTCCCCCTAGTGCCAAAATACCACAGGGCTTTGTTTAATAACCCACATACATTATTTTGATCATTTTCAGTAAAGAAGAATAGTGGCACACTTAGTGTTGAGTGTGCATTGAGAGAACACAGTTAAGAATGAAGCTTAAAATCATAAGATGATGCAGATTTGACTTGCAGCTAATAAGTGCATCTCATAAAAAAGGAGTCCACTTCTTGGCATTGCTTATTTCATTGCCTTAGTGGTAAAAGGTTCTGTAAGTGTTCTGAAAAGTATGAATGGGAGAGACTACACTTAGAGGCTGTGTTGGGGCCTCGTCAATGTGAATTATCACTATGCAGTGGCTAAGTGTTATCAGCAAATACTGCCTGTCATATGACTTCCTGTCATTTGAACTGTGAACTACACACAAACTGACACATTCTGCTCTTTCATGACATTAAGCCTTTATATATCTTAATTAAGCATACGTGTGACTTTGATCTGTAAGTACGGGAGGGCAGGGATTTGCCTTGCTGGCAATGGCAGTGAGCCATGTTCATAACTTGTTTTATAGTGCCTACAAACCAAAACTAACCCAGAATTGGGTTTTATCAGAGTTGGGTTTATTGCCAAGTAAGTTTTTACACATAGAAGGAATATGTCTTGGTGCATTGGTGCATAAAAATCATACAAAAATAAAGTAATTTTTACAAATATAAATAAATAAAGATGAAAAAAGATCAAAAACTGTGCAGGAAACATATTTACAACGTACAGGATAGAAAAACCAACGGGAGTGCATTAACGTAATGCATATATACACAGGGTGGGTATTAAGACTCAGTGTCTAACCCTAACTTGGACCGTGGGTAACAGTATAACCAGTGTTGTGTACGCTCTGCATTCCTCATGTCTGTATAAAGTCAGACAGAGCATACAAGCTGCCTTTTCAACATAAAAGGGCCACAGAAAACTCACGAGTATTGAACACAGGATGCCTCCAGCAAAGCATATGACGAACCACTTCACCCTGGTGCTGTAGCTGAGAGAGCTGGCATCAAGGACCTGGTAAGAACAATGGGAGGATGTCACAAGACAAACTTAATGACCTGCAGAGAGACCCACAGGCTTTCCCACTGATGACTTTACTATAGCGGCCTAAGGCGAGCAAACAACACCTAGTCACAGTATTATCTTAAAACACAGACACACACAGACACAGTAGGACATTACTCAGTACACTGAACTTGCGCAAAAACAACCAATAAAACCAGAATCTGCAAAGAAATGCAAAAATACAACCACGAGAGTTTAACTTTAAACTGTGCAACAAGTAAAAAAAAAACAAAAAACAAAAGTGACACCAGGTGATATAAAAACACAGGGCTCAAGTCACCTTACCTCATTTCCTCCTCAGCGTGAACGCGTGTAAAAACAAAAGGTATAAATAAACAGACAAATACAGTTTATTAAATGCTGACAGAAGGATGATAGTTAGGTTTAAATAAAAATAAATAATAAAAAAAAAAACACCCCGAACAGAAAACATGATAATGAAACTGTTTCAGTTAGCCAACGTCTCAGGAAAGGCTAACAGCAACCTAAAACTAACCCTTAACTAACTTAAAAAGAGAAAATAAAACCACACAAGCGTTGATAGCAAATCTCTGAACGGCAACGTCGAGTCACAGACAGGAAAAAAGGAAAAAGCACAGTGTTATTTTGTTTTATATTAGTTGTTATCCATTTACAGAGCGTTAGCATTAGCTACCTGTGCAGTGAGACCCAACTCTTCATTATCGTCTTGTCCGCTTAACACACGACGAAGCTTGTCCATCGTTAGTTGGCAGTTAAATTAGGCAGAAAAAAGAAAAAAAGGTTTAAAGTCTCAGTTTCTATATTTCTAACTGTACGGCTGCTGTTTGTGTCTACAAGTTTTGACCGCAGTAGTGGCAACTTTAACTTCCTGGCTTCCTGAATTGTGTTTTTCTGTTAAGTGCTGACCTAGAATCGGTTTGTACGCAGCCAGTGTTTGAGTCTATTCGTTGGGGAGGTGTTTCAAAAACCGACCGCAGATCAGCTTGTGAAGGCAACTTCAACCAAGCCCACTTCCCCCCGAACTGTTGCTGCCTTTCAGTGCAGTCGGAAATTACAACATCATTTGCGTACAACACTACACCCTGCAGACTGTACTGTGTTTACAATGTCATGGCATGTATGGTGTGATTGACTGTTGGCACGTTACAGTATATTTAATTAAAAATAGGAATTGAGGTAAAAAAAACAACAACTATTTATTAAACCAATGTGAGTAGACAGAATATATATATATATATTATAATTATGCCAAATAGGCTAAGTGGAAAAAGTGAAAATCGCTCCTTAAAATACCAGTCTCTTTGCTTGTTTTAGCCCATTTACTTAACGTTACTTTTACATTACTCCTTACTATTTTAAATATACGGTTTAAAACCGACCACTGGTTTGCCAGCTGTTGCGTTTCTGTTGCTTTGTCGCCACCCAGTGGAGATAAAACGTGAAGACAGGAAACAGTTTGGCACAGTCAGTACATTATGTCCTCCTTACATGACCATGCTTGGTGGTTTTACTAATTTATCTTGTGCAGACTGTTGTGACTAATTCCATGCATAACTTTAGCATTAGCTTAGTATTGGAAGTGAATGTCTTGTGTCGTCCTGTTAGGCCATGTTTTCAATTTCAGAATGGAATATAATCTTTCGAGTGTTAAAACATTTTGTGTCTCAAGGGTACATGAAGTCGCCTTGCCTTTATTGAGAACATAACTGGCGCCGAACGAAATAGCTTACAGTTATGGGAGTCTTGACTTTGGGTCACACTGTTCTTGTATGTAAGACATTTTAATTATATTTAAATACACAGAAATTACAGGCACAAGAAACAAAAGATAAGGGTGGCGATGAAAACACAACAACTCATTCCGACAATTCTCAAGTTTGCTGTGTATTTGCAGACAGCTGACTAAGATAAGTAGACTACTAAACTAAGCTATTAAGCATCATTTTACAGCTGGTGCATTTACAGGAAAATGTGAAACTTTATCTGTAAATATACAAGCAAAATGTTAAACTTCCACTCTCAGACACAGCTGTGAGATAATTCTTCTCACTCTTATAATGAACCTGTCTGTAAGTGGTTCACTATGGTATGGTTTCTTGTAGACATCGTTTTAGAGTTAGAATACCTTCACAATAACCAATGGTTATAAAATATATTTAATTTGCCAAGGAACACATCAAGGTCTTGGTGTTTCAAGAGATTATAAAGCCGCATTTATTCTTCTGTGCTCTCATCCATACTGACTGGGCATGGTGTAGACCTTGACCACTGAGATCGTCCTTTAATCTGTGCACACAATTAACATAATTCAAATACAGGGTCCTTGAAAAAACAGTCTCTCTAGTAAAATTGAAGCTCCTCTTGTCCACATGCCATGTGTCCTAGAACAAGAACTGCAAATTGATCCTGATGGTCAGACCAGCACGTTGCATGCTAGACTGATGCTTGAGGGTGCTCGATTGGCGTGTGTATGAATGGAATTCATACACACTGAATAAGGAGCACACCAAAACCAGAAGCCAGGGGAGCAGTCGGACTTACACAAGCGGCTGGCTATTTGTTCCTTCAAATGAACTATTATGCAAAATATACATTATTGGTTTAAAGTACTACTCCACACTTGAGCATTTTTGAGCTGTAAACTAAATGACATGACTCTATTGTGAAGAAACACATTCTGGTATTAATAGATAGATAGATAGATAGATAGATAGATAGATAGATAGATAGATAGATAGATAGATAGATAGATAGATAGATAGATAGATAGATATTCCTTTATTTGTCCCACAATGGGTAAAAACCCTACTGGGAGCAGTGCTGGTTGTTAAACAGTCTGACAGCAGCAGGAAGGAAAGACCTACGATATCTCTCCTTCACACATTTGGGGTGAAGGAGTCTGTCGCTGAAGGAGCTGCTCAGTGTAGTGATGGTGTCCTGCATGGGGTGGGTGAGCCCTTTTAACAGTTCTCTGTATTCCCTGTCGTCGTCATCAGTGATGAGGCCGACGATGGCAGAGTCATCAGAGAACTTCTGCAGGTGACAGTGCGGAGAACTGTGCCTAAAGTCTGCAGTGTACAGGGTGAACAGGAAAGGAGCCAAAACTGTTCCCTGTGGAGCCCCTGTGCTGCAGACCGCCATGTCAGAGACACCACATTTCTTACCAAATTTATGAAAATCTGCATTTCATGGGTTGAAAACGCCTCAAAACGCCTCTCTGTTTGAAATCACCCTGGACCACACAAGGCCAACAGATTTGACATTCTGGGTCTAATTTACATAATGACACTTATATAAATGAGCATACAAATGTATGCTGATTGAGAGGCATCATTCCCAGGAGTTTGCTAGTTTTTGCTAACTCTCTACTTCGTATTTTTATGTTTTGGTGCAATAGTTTGGACTTTTGACAGCTGTAGAAGCACCAGAATGCATTATTTCTCTTAATCTCTCTCAATGATCCCACGCACTGATACTCCCCCCACAGACACACACAGGTACTGAAGAGTTAACCTCTCTGAGGTAGCTTAGCTATAATAGAGGTACCACACAGAAACATTTAGAAAGGGCCATGAATGTGCTTCTAGTGACTATAAAAGCTAGTGGGCTCACAGAGAGTCTCACAGCAGCTGCTCATGGCTGGTCAGCTTGGTCAGCTTGGTCAGTCATTGTATCCGGGCTCCCCTGGCCAACCCTTGGCAGCACCACTGTAGGCACTTTATAAATGCATCAGTTTACATTGTAATAGTAACCAATGGTGCCTCTGTTTATAAAAATAATCTCTTAAAAACTGTTCTTTTAAAGTAGGTATGCACATAAAACCATAGTCAATATGGAAGGTTCAAGTATGGATGAAGGTGTGCAATTAAGAGCAAATGCAAAATGTATAAATATATTTATATGTTTCATTTAATTATTCAGTCTTAAAACCCGTCTGCACTCTGAACTGTAACTCTGTGATTTAAGGCTGATTTAGGACTTCATCTTTAAATGGATCAAACCAGTAATATTCAACTACCAAATGACTAAAAAACAGCTGTTTACAACGTCTGACTTTACTGTGTACTGTGACAGTTTTCCACTTCGATGTGAGTATAACATAAACCTCAGCCGACTTTGTGACACACGAGCCACTTGATGAGAAGTTGAGTAACAGGTGGCTGACATTGTCCTCCGCACGGCTTCGATGACGATCTGCTGCGGTTGCAGCAAAAGAGACTTTAAAGAAGGGCCAGAGATCTTAATGCGCAGCACTCAGCGGGCATCCCGGCTTCTGTGCGTTTTACAGAATGTGGACCTCGCTGCCGGCGCTCTTGTTCCTGTCTGTTTTGGGCTTCTACGGATGCAAGTGCGCTCCGGGTTTCGGCTGTCCGAGGATCTGCCGCTGTTTCTCCAACACAATCAGATGCAACAATGTAACTCAAGGGTCGGCGCTGATGATGGATCACAGAGATAAAAGACTGTAAGTTCACACTACTGAGATGGATTTACCAAAGAGGTAGTGCTTGTTTGATATTATACATTTAAAGTAATTGAAAACGATGGTTGAAGAGTGTTCAGTCTATGTTGGTTAATGCATTTGGCACTATAATGATTACTATAATCTGTTTCTTTATGTAACCCCTCTGATAAAACCATTAGCAAGATTATTCCGTGCGTATTTACGCATGGAGGAAGGATGCCCCTGGAACGCACTCGCTTGGTTACGTGTTGCCATGCGTTAAAATGTAAGTTAATTCAAGGCTGCTAAAGTGACTATTACATATTATGATCACCCCCCCCATTTATGCGGTATTAATGTAGTCCAAAAATATTTTACATGTAACTTTTTCTGCCAACACACTGAGGAGGTAGTCCAAAAAGTCCCCCTTGTGTTGAGACATTTCTTTTACATCATTTCTTTTTTTCCCCCAAATGATAACCATGAGATAATCATTTTTATCATTAGTTTTTTTTTTTTTTTATCAGTGGTTCTAAAGACAAATGCTGCCTTGTCAGTATTTATAGACTTTAGAATTTAGACAACTAGGCTCAGTTGGGTTGCAGTGTGGTAAGTGTTAGCCCTAAGATAAGATACAGTAATCCTTTATTGGTCCCCATGTGGGGAAATTGTGCTTAAAGAAAATTGTGCTTACCTTTCAATTGTGTGCCTGTATACCTCAGTATAACTTGATAATAATTTTAAAATTATAAAAAGGAAAAAATATTTTTTACTTATCATTACTTATTGCAGACTGAAGGACATCAGCTTCAACAGTGTTTATAGTAATTATTTTCGTGCTTTACCTCATTTAGCAAAAGTACAGCACATTCTATTGTTAGAAAACAGAGGGCGCTGCATGTGTGCAACTTAATTACCTGTGAAGAAAATGTCAAGTTGATCTCACAGGGTCAAGTACGCAGTGCATCCTCTTGCTCTTTGGGGTTTCTGGGCATCAGAGCTCAGTTTCAGAGTTCACCAGACTGTCACAAACCTTGAAGGTGGGAAATCTTGACCTCTCCTCTGGTAAATTACAGAACCTTGAGTCTGTCCTGATAAGTGTCCATGAAGGCCAGCAGGCTTCATACATGTATCAAATGACACTAACACCCCGCACACACACACACACACACACACACACACACGCACGCACACACACACTCCAGCACATTTGTGTTTTGTGAAATGATGAAACTTACAAGTGTTTATATAAACTGATTATGTAACAGTTAAACAGTCATGAGGTGACTGGTTTGAGCCGATGTGAAATACAGGGACTTATTTTTCTCCTTGTTCCTACAGTTGGATGTTTGAGCTTCACTGTGTTGAATGATGTATGTGCAGAGTTCGATACTAGAAGGTTGTTTTCACATTCATCCTCTGAAAGTGTAAAGTGAAAATCGGATTTTAAGGGTCGAGTCTACGAGCATGATTTGATCAGACTGCACGTATATAGTGCTGTTCTAGTCTTCTGTTCACTACATGTCACATTCACACACACACACTCAAACACTCTCACTGATGGCACAGCATCAGGAGCAATTTGGGGCTAAGTATCTTGCCCATGGACGCAAGAAAAATTGTGTATTCATAAATTCTGGGATATTTAATGAAGAAATTCCTCTGTTTTTTTGGGAAAAGCAAAACAGACAGCCATTATTGTTCTAAGAATGTCTTAATACAGGTCTGGAGGGGATCTTTTAATTGCTTTAGTTACTTTTTATCTTTTCTTCTTGAATCTTTAAAATCACTTACTTAAGATGACTAATGATTAAATGTGCCTCTCTTTATTCTTTTTTCAGGTTTCTCTATCATTTGTCTTTGAACACCATTTCCAGCCATTCTTTTGATGGTTTAAAAGGAGTCCAGAGGATGTAGGTATCAATTTTCCTCCACTAACACTGACTTAAAATATCATATAACTGCAAATGTTTTCTAGTTTTTAGTTTGTGCTTTTCTAGTATTCACTGAATTAGTCAACTAACCCTAGTTCACCACAATTCAGCTATTTCAATTTAATGCTTACAATGCAAGTTCGGAACAAATATAAAAGAAAGTAAAAGTTTTTGCAGCTACACCTAATTAACAAATCTGATCAAAGAGTGATTTCAGTATATGACTCCTTCATAGTCCTGATGTTTGAATACACTGTTCACACACACCAAACAGTGTTATATGTAAAGATACATGTTCTTTTTGTGGACTTAATTGTATTGTCTCTGTTCTATACACAGTGAGATTGCTCAGAGTGTAACCCTGGAAACCATTGAGGCATTAGCCTTTAATAACCTTCTCAACCTCTCTGAAATGTAAGTCTTTTTTAACGTTTATATGAATCAATAAAAAAGTAATGGTTCCTTTTAATGCAGCAGAGTTTCAGCTGATGTTCTGTGTTGCTTTGCAGCTCAGTCCAGAACACGAGGAGTCTGATGCACATTGGCAGAAGGACATTCAATAACCTCCCCAAACTACATTACTTGTAAGACTACATTACATTACCTCAAAATATACAATTTAAATCAATATAATTTTTTTTGGTTTAAGATTTAAAGGTACGTATTGGACAGACCCCTGTATTTTTTCAAATCCCATATACTTGAGCAATAACCAAGTAAAATATTTCTGTCAATTTGAAGCCAATATCAGACAAATACTAACTTATATTGCACTTATACTGATGCCAAGTAATAACTTTTTTAACGGCATTAAATGTCACAAAATGACCCATGTTTTTCTTCTGCCTTAACAGGAGCATCTCAAATACTGGGATAACCCTTTTCCCTGACATTACATATATCAATTCTCTTGAATCCGAGTTTATCTTGTAAGTACATGTACTGCTCAAGTTTTAGAGACTTGCAACAAATAAAAACAAAAAGCACATCCCCATAACACATAAACTGTTGCACTATTACAGGGATATATGTGATAACCTGTATCTACTGGAAATACCTCCTAACGCTTTCATCGGACTGACAAAGGAGTATGTTACAATGTAAGTGAAGCAAAACATTCCTTTTATTTGCTTTATGTTGCATCATGTTAGTAAACAAGTTATTAATATCTCACATTCAATCATAAAAATCTTGTTACTGATTGCAGGAACCTGTATAACAACGGCATCAGAGAAATACACGACTACGCCTTCAACGGGACAAAGATAGATAAGCTGTATTTACCCACATTTCCTTTTTTTGGCTGAATGATGTGAGTTGAGTTTCTTCTTCTCACAACATGAAGCTTTTGCTCCATTATTCTGCCTTTTATCATTTCAGGGTATTAAAGAATAATCGAAACCTCAGAGTGATCCACAGATATGCTTTCGAAGGAGCCACAGGACCTGGAGTCTTGTAAGTGTTATTTTGAAAACCTCCTGAAATTCACCAACATTTTTTTAACTTAGATTTATTGGGGAGAGGAGGAAGGAGGAGGATGTTTGTCAAACTGACCGTTCAAATCGTAGACTCGCTTTTTGTGTCTTGATAGATTCATTGCTTGAATTCTGTGCCAAGACTTGAGAGATAGTAAACAAGATGGAGCTTTAGGCCAACATTGAGAAGAATTACGTATCACATTCTTCTAAGATGTGTAATATACTAATATAATAACAGTGGGTGGTATTTTACTGCTGATATAGTTGCATGAGTATGCAGCTTAGCTCGATGACTGAAGGCTAGGTGGAGTGATTTTGATTGACTTTATAGGGCACAATGTTCACAAAGAGGCTTTTATAGCCCCATGCAGTCACATTGTTGTCTGTGTTATTTCCCAGGGACGTTTCTGCGACAGCTCTCACAAAGTTGCCACCGCAGGGACTGGAGTCAGTTCTGGTGTTGTTTGCTCAGTCAGCATATGCCTTGAAGAGTCTGCCTCCTCTGCAGGGACTGTGGAGCCTGCGAGAGGCCCATCTCACCTACAACAGTCACTGTTGTGCGCTGCTGAGCTGGAACACCCACAGGTGACTCACACTGTGCATTTTACAGGTTCATCAAGATTAGATTTGTTCATGGATCATCTCAGTAAATACTAAAACTCTACAATATAAGTATTTATTTCACAGATGTGTTTGCATTCAAGCAATTGCGTTGACATTTACATAATTTCTTTTCTTTCCTGCAGGGACTTTTCCATTAATCCTGCATATAATAATGACTCTACTTATTGTGATGAGAGTGACCAATTAGCAAGGTAAAACACTGTTATGCTTTCCTGCTTCTGTAATGGTTAAATTGAACTCTATGCAGCCTTGGTAGTGAATAAAAGGTTTTATTAGTAGTAACAAAACTGCCCATATTTCATGTTGTGTAAGCCTTGACTACTTACAAGAAATCAGTCAAGCAGTCTTTCTCCTGGAAAAACAGTTTGGCTTTACTTTAGAGACCCTGTATAAGTTCTCTTCTGAACTCTTTATTAAATTTAAGATGAACTAACCAGAACACTTCTCTCTACTTGTTCTTCTCCTTTGAAAACAGGGTTCAGCGTGTGATTGGAGGTTCAGCAGACACGACTCTAGTTATGGATATGCCATTTTTTTCAGACGTTGATTTATCTGAGGACGAGGGCTTTGGAGACGTGAATTTCCACTATCCAGAGCTGGACTTCTGTCAGACCCGACCAACTTTGGTTTGCACACCTGAAGCAGATGCTTTCAATCCCTGTGAGGACATTGCAGGTTTCAGTTTTCTCAGAGTAGCCATTTGGTTTATCAACATACTGGCCATCACAGGCAACCTGACAGTCCTCCTAGTCTCCTTCACCAGCCGCAACAAGCTGACGGTGCCTCGCTTCCTCATGTGCCACCTGGCTTTTGCAGACCTCTGCATTGGGATCTACCTCCTAATGATAGCCACAGTAGACTTCCGCACACAGGGCCACTACAGTCAGCATGCTATTGAATGGCAAACAGGGTCTGGCTGTAGTGCTGCAGGCTTCCTGTCTGTGTTTGGTGGGGAGCTGTCAGTCTACACGCTTTCCACCATCACCCTGGAGCGCTGGCACACCATCACCAACGCTCTGCAGATAGAGCGCCATCTGGTACTCACACAGGCAGCGAGCATAATGGCGGCTGGGTGGATCATCTGTCTGGGGATGGGGATGCTGCCTCTGTTTGGCGTGAGCAGTTACGCCAAAGTCAGCATGTGCTTACCAATGGACATAGAGACCCCCCTGGCTCAGGCCTTCATCATACTCATCCTGCTCTTCAACGTGGGCGCCTTTGTTGTTGTGTGTGTTTGTTACGTGCTGATCTATCTGGCTGTGAAAAACCCAGAGTTCCCCAGAAGAAGCGCTGACACCAAGATTGCAAAGCGCATGGCTGTGCTCATCTTCACTGATTTCCTCTGCATGGCTCCCATCTCCTTCTTTGCCATCTCTGCTGCATTCAAGGTCCCCCTCATCACAGTCACTAACTCCAAGATCCTGCTGGTCCTCTTCTTCCCCATCAATTCTTGTGCCAATCCCTTCCTTTACGCTATCTTCACCAAGGCTTTTAGAAAGGACGCATATCAGCTCATGAGTGCCATGGGATGCTGTAAAAGCAAGGCCAGTGTTTATCGCATGAAGGCCTACTGCTCCGAAAATGCAATCAAGAGCAACCTGGGATCCAATAATAAAGAATCAGGCACAGGAGGGCGGCGGGCTGCGGTGGCAGGGCAGAGCCATCACCTGAAAGAGGAGAGGGAGCTCACCTGAAATAAAAAGATTCAAAAGTCTTTTAATTGGACAATTGGTCAAGAGAAACTAAGGAAAAAACAACTCATGCTGGATTTGGAGGAAATTACTCTAACATGTTGACATTGATGGCATATTTTAATCTGCACTGTTGGAGATATTTGTATTAGAAAGTATAAGAAAATCTTATTGCCTTTTCCAAATCTGATATCAGTTCAACCCAATAAAAAAATACTTTTTTTGTTGACTGGTTATGACAGGAAAAGTAAAACGAATAACACTGATGATCGCTCTGTTGTTTCAGGCCCACCTGTAGTTTCATATGTCAAAATGTCTTGTAAATATACAGAAGAAAGCTCTGGAAACAGCTACTAAATGGACCTTTATGGACCTTTGTTGTATTGTCAGCTATGAACTGTCATATCTCAGTATTTAATTGGATGACCTAAACGAACAAGAAGTCTTTAAAATGCTGCAAAAAAACTCACATTTGAAACACCACCTGTTCAGATCTACTGATTGTATGACACAGTGTTAAACTCCTTGTGGTGAGACTGAGTGATCTGCTTCATCCTAGCTTCATCTCCAAAGTTCATCTGAATGAGAATCAAACCAGAGCTGTCAGTTTATCTCAATGTTATTGATGTATGTGAAATAAATTGTCCGCTTCATTCTGGGTGTGAAATTAAGAACATCTATAGCCATGGTTAGTATTTAAAGGTTATAGCCTATAGTTGACCACGTGGTGGAGTAGTTGGGAGGAAAACTTCTACACCACTTGAGTTTTTGTTGTTCTTTTGGCCTAAGGGTTTTTGGGATTATGTAATTAAAAATAAAAGACTTCACCTACCGTGCTAGTCTATTTCTATGTTGTTAGGCTACATTCATGTTCTTAATGCCTAATATAAGATAATAATTTTATGTATATAAGGTTATCATTTGCTTTCCTCAAAAAAGAGAATACGACGAACAGACATAATAAGAAAAATAAATAATAAATATATAAACTTATGTAAAAAACAGTTTTTTTGAGTGTCAGCAGCTCCATTTATGTGTTGTTTTTTCTGCTTTGTTTTGGTTGTTTTTAGTGTTTTTGTACATTTCTCTCTCTGAGTCCCGCCTTCATGGGACCCTAGTGTGACGTCGGAAAAAGTAAACTTTCTCTCTCTCTCTCTCTCTCTCTCTCTCTCTCTCTCTCTCTCTCTCTCTCTCTGTCTCTCTCTGTCTCTCTCTCTCTGTCTCTCTCCCTGTCTCTCTCTCTCTCTCTCTCTCTCTCTCTCTCCCCCCCCAGCTGAATCTGAATCTTGATCTCGGGTCAACAGCTCTTCCACACAAGCCGCGTTGAAGCCACTCCAGCGGGGGATGTTGCTTTTTGTCGGTGCCGCTCAATCAGTCCGCTTAGAATAAAAAACGTGGACGTGTTTTTTCAGGCTGTTGTCGCGGGACAAAAACACAACAGTGGACAGCTCAGACTTTTGGTCATGGCAAAGAAGTCAACTCCAGGCTGGTTTGGACTTTTACTCTGTGCAGCGACCATAGCCATTATTGTGGGGAGTCCGGTCAGCGGTGAGTTGTTTATTTTCCTTGGAGGTCTGTGTTTTGCCTCTTTAACTTTAACTTCATGTCTCTCAAAGTTGGATATCTCAGGCTGAACTCAGTCTAGTGAACAGCCAGGGAGAGACTCTTTAACTCTGTATGAGAGACTGCAGCTGTAAGAGATTTAAATACTCATTTAAATAGCTTTATATCCGACCGCTGGAAAAGCTTTAAGGATTTCTGACTTACAGAAAGTCTTTAACACATCCTGAAGTCCTGAATGTGTTTCATTGCACTGAACGTGTATCTTACTGAAGCTTCTTCTTAATTATAGTAATAAAAATGTGGCTGTGGGCTGGAATGGTGACAGTAGAAAACACATCAAAATAGGCTACCCATCTGGTAAAGAGCCATACTTCATGAAAACACTCAGTGGATAAACATTTTTTTAAATGTTGTGGCATAATTGCTACTATTCATGCCTTTTAAAAATACCGAATTAATGTGTTTTTTCTTATTTTTTACAATCAAAACTGATGATTTGTGAAACTGACTCATCGATCACAGAAAATTAATTGTCAGGTATTTTCATTAAATCTTTTTTTAGTTCTTCAAGTGTTAAGACTTGCTGTTTTCTTGCTGTTTTCTCTGTTTTATGTCATCGTTATGAGAATATTATTAAGTTTTGCGCTGTTGTATCTTGTATTTTTTCTACTTGTGTATTTCTTTTTTTGCTGTGTTACACATGTGGAGCTGCTATAAAGAGTGAATTCTATGAAGTCTATCTTACCTTTTCTTAAGACTTCACTTTGGGCTCTGAATACATGTGATTTTTCACTATTTTCTGACATTTTATAATGATTATAATGATTAATTGATTATTTGAAAAATCAATAAGACAGACACATATGAAAATAAATGTGGCAGACTTGTGGTCTTTGATTTAGTAGTTTCGTGAACATTTTGGATGGAAAAATTTTCCTCATTCTGTAACACTTGATGTCAAATCTTTAACAAATCAAATGTTAATCTTTGAACTCCAAGGCAGAACGTTATACTTCAAAGCTCAACATGATTAAACGCGTTCTTTATTGCAAAGCAGAAACCAGATTTTTTTATTCTGTATCCTGCTGATGTTACATCAGTCAGTATAAGAGAGATCTAACGTCTCCCTCTGTAAACAGCTCAGCATTCTAGTCGCCGGTCCCACCGTTTCACAAGGACCTCTGATCCTCTTGTGATAGTGGGCCGTGTTTCAAGGGTTTATCTGACCCCGGATCAGCTCAGACGACTTCACTTCAAGCCCACCGTAGGCACCATCCAGCTATCAGATGGCCATGAGGCTAAATTCAACTGCTCCATCGACATCCCCGACGCCAGGCAGGAGGCCATCATCGTCTGGGTGAAGAACGGCCAGGACCTGGCAGAAAACATGCAGGTGTCGATCAACGAGCTCCAGACCTTCACAGACGGGGTCACGACTCTCCTCTCCACTGTCAGGTGTGTAAAACATGGAGGTGATAACTTGTGAGACAGGCTGATTATGCAGACTGACAAGTGTCCTCATGTACTGTGTTACAGCATCAACCATGTGCAGCGAGCGGATGCTGGGGAGTATCGCTGCAGAATGAGTATCAACAACAGAATGGTCGAGTCTCAGCCGATCATCATCGAGGTGGAAGGTGAGTTTCAGCGTGATGAACTGGGCAGCGTTGGGTACTTCTTGGGGTGTCCACATTGTTCATAACACATCTTTGACTGGTCTGTTACAGGTCTACCGACATTTATGCATCAGCCAGAGGACAGGAACGTAACAAGAAACACACCTTTCACTCTGACATGTGAGGCGGTAGGACCTCCGGACCCCGTTCAGATCCGCTGGCTCCGTGATGGATTACCTGATAGTGACTTTCACAACTCTCCCAGCAGCTACTCTGTGTCAGGTGAGACACTAACCACACAGTCCAGTTTTCTCCTCTCTTTCTCACACATACAGAGAATATTGTGTTTCACAGTGATATATAGCGATACTTCCTACTTCTTCCCGATTGTTGCCTGTTCCTCTTGAGTTGGTGCAATCGTAAAAGTGTAATTTCTTGCTGTTCCCCTCACACCAATGAATGGTCAGCATATGACTCAGCATAAGTCTGAATTACACCTTGAATCAGACAGAAAGAAGCTGAAGATGTGCTCTGTCATTAATCACTCTAACATAAGGTTCATACTTTGTTCCTTTATCAGTCTGAAATGTGTTAGAGGAGCTTCAGAAGTAGTTAAGTAAGACTTTCTATGTTTAATTTAAAAGTATTCCTTAAAAGTGCTTTCTGATCAAGCTCTATTTGTGGGTTAGTTTTTCCTGAATGACAAAAGTAAAGAGAGCTTTTTTTTTTACTAGAAGAACTTCTGGCTCGTATAAAAAGTTGTAAAAGTAGTTTACTAGAAGTAAGCTACCTTTTATTAAACCAATTAAACTGTTTCACTTTAGTCAAGTTTCTCTTGTGATAGAATGTGGAAACATTCATCAACAGAGATAATAGGACACGTAGCTCTCTGATAATGGTTGGAGTGGGTCTCACTCAGCTAGCATCACTTTGTCGGTGGTTTCTATTCTGCCTCGTCTCTGCTGCCTCAGCATCTGTACTCTGCTTACTGCAATGGGATTTATCACCATGGTCAGGGACACTGGGGGCCCCTGTACGTCAGAATGGTTAACGGCGGTCATTCATGTATGGTCAGTGCTTTTCGTCACACCGCTCTGCTAGCCGTATACTGAAGCCATTGGACATGTGAGAAATAAGGCAACATTGGAAATGCAGCACTTGCTGTTAGCCTGATTAAAGTTTGCTTTTTTTTCCAAGTTTCAAGTTTTCTGAGAATTAGATGAGAAGATTGATACCAATGTCCTGTATGTAAGGCAAATATGTAGCTGAAGTCAGCAGCTGGCTAGCTTAGCTTAGCATAAAGACTTGGAACTGGGGGGAACTGAGGTAACAACATTAAGGAACAAATTACCAGGTAACCAGGCCAGGAAGTTACTGGTGAAGGCTTGTTTTTGTATGGGTTAAGCAAATAATGTGTTAATTAAAGCTATTTCCCCTGTTTCCAGTCTTTACACTGAGATGAGCTAAGCTAACTGGTCACTAGCTGTAACCTTATGTTTAACAGATAATAAAATGGTTAAAAAAAAAAAAAAAGAAAGCAAATTACCTTTTTTTTTTACCAGTGTTTGGAATTTTTGCTGCAGCTAAAAATTATTTTAATTATTTGTGTCCAATCAGCAGTCTCAAACCCAAAGATTGTTAGTTTGGTAGCATAAAAGAATATGAAAACCAACAATACTCACATTTGAGAGGATTAAACCAGTGAATTGTTGGCATTTGTTTAAAAAAAACCTTTAATCAACTGTCAAAAATGTTGCAGATTAATCAACTAATAACTCCAAATTAAAGTTCACATCAAAGTAAACTTGATTCTTTTTCAAGAATATACTGAATATAAAAGTCAAAACTAATTGTAAGAAGATCAGTTCAGGTTTTATGTTCATGTTATACTCTTAAAATGAAATATTCTTGAAATTATATATATATAACACTAAATTTGTAAAGACGAATTGTTGCTCAAATGTCTTTTCAACGTGGACTCTCCCTTTATGGCCTCAGCTGCCCTCTTCTTGAAAGCAAACATTTGTTATTAGAAGCATAACCTTCCTGCTCTGTATACTCTAACCCTTCATTTTCAGCTCGCCGCAGGCTAAGAACTCCTGCAGTAGCCAGTGAGTGGTGATACTGCCCGAAGCTGAGGGGTTAAAGGTTCAGAGCTGTGCTTCGGTCCGGCATGTGCAAGGGCCTGGGCAGTAAGGGGATGGGGGGCTGCACAGGGAGTCTGTTCGGGGGTTGGCTCCGGGGACAAAGACCTCATTCACAGGACGGCCCACTACCCAGCAGGGAGGGGCTGGACACAGAGGCTGGCAGGCTGCAGGCTAGCAGAGCTCTGTGCAGAACCAAATATTGGCACAACAAAACATAGCAAACCCACTCTTCTGCATACTCACTTCATCCATACTATGAGTCCTTTTCTCCCTAAGCTCATGATATTATGAGAGTGCTTTTTTTATGTAGAGTGGGAAATGATTGCTGGTTTTATTGTTGGAAAGTCGATATATATTATTGCTTGAAATCAGGGTATTATACCTTGTTGATGGGGATTTATTTTGGTTACGGGAAGCTTTCTCATCCATATTTCTTTATTTAATCTGTCTCAGGACAGTAGTATAAGATCGGTTTATGGTGGGAAGGTGGACACAGGTTTGGAATTTCATCTTCAAAAACACACATCGTCCAAGAGTCCAAATATGGTGCACAATACTAAAGAGCAAAATGTTGTAGGCTTAGTTACAACCTGATGGAGTAGTTGGCTATATTTGATGCCTGAATCTAAAAATGGAAAAATAACATCTCAGGCAGCCTAGTGTGCTGGAACGCTTCCCTCTATAATTTGATATGTTTCCATCTGAGTGGCTAACCCAACTATTTTTTCTATAGTGTTTTTGCTTTTTGTTTTGAGTTACTTGCCAAGTACAGTGAAAGCAGAAATGCAATTGCTTGAACTTTATTCATTTCCTTTTTCCCAAAAAATATCTGACTTAAAAATAATGTTTAATGACCCCTGAGCTTGAGAAACTGTAAATCCTTTGTGTATTTGACCATAAATTGGTACCCTACTGTAGTTCTTTTGTGCAAAGGACCAATTTATGAAACCACCCCTGCAGCATAATCCACGTCTCTGTTTTGATATATTAGCACAGTATTTTGGAAACAGTCATTGTTTTACCACAGTACTGCTAAATACATGCAAATCATGTTGCTCAGACTGTCACACTCCTTAAAGCTCTATGTGGATGTTTTTGTGAACATGATGATGTTTTTTGGTATCCATAGATCCTGGCATCATTTTTAACATGACCATAGCCACAAAAAGCAAAGAACTAACTATATATGCAGTAAGGTTTCAACTCGACAGACTCATTTACTAACTTTTTCTTCCCTGTTGTCCCTGTTCTCTTTGGTAAAACTATATAAGAATGACCAGTTTCATTTGGGACACTCAAACCTGCTCATTGCCCACTCTGCTCCAACCAGCTGTTTGCCATGTAGTTTGAAATGAGGTATGTGGTAATTACATTTGCACAGCTTGGCTGCAAATGTGAGGCACTCTTTACCCTAGTGCAGAGGAAGGCAAACTTATGAACTTGTGATATTCTGCAGAATGTAAACAAAACATCCCATGTTTTGTTCCAGTCATCTCTCACAGGCTGCTCTGTGATTAGCTTTGTGTAAAGGTTTCCGAGATAGAGACAGTGGAAAACAGAGCACAAAAGGGACATTATTTTGCAGCTGTCACAGTCCTATTCTAACTGTGCAGATCTGTGGCAGTTGAAAGGCAGGAATTGTGCATCCAGGAAAAGAGACCCAGCAAAAGGATTGTTACCACAGTACATCACACTGGAGAGGCTCAATTTGAGCTCACTACACGAGGCACTGCTGTGTGAACTTTTGAGGTATAATAAAGAAGTGAGTCATCCCCAAGTGGGTTGTTTTTGTATCAATTTCAGTCTCATTTCTCCATTGAGGCTGACATGGCACATGGCTGCAGATACACCTTTCATACAGAGAGAAATCAGTTTGTCCAAACATAGGACCCGATGAGAATGTGTGTACTGATTTTGTTTCCTAGTATTGAAGAAAAATAACTCTGGAGTTGAGGTCGATTTATCAAAATATTCAGTGCTATCTCGACCTTGAGGGTTGGTTGTTTTGATTTCATACAGCAATGAGAGTGCCACATTGTCCTCTCCAATGTGTCAATTGCAGGTGTGGACAAGTACACTCAGTTCAGCTGTGAGGCTCACAACAAGAAGGGTGTCACCACCTCCAGGGAAGCAAATATCAACATCAAAGGTAAAAGTGGGTCTTTTTGGGGGCTGTTAGACATTCCAAGGGGTTTTCATGCTCTGCAAGGTGACCATATGCCTCCATGTTAGGGAGTTAATAAGGGTTTTTTATGGTGTTTTGCAGTGCTTCCAAGCCCTGTGTTTAATGTTACTGTGATGGAGAGACAGTCCAATAAGTTGATGTTGAGCTGGAGCCCTGGACTTGATGGTTTCTCTCCTCTTACTAAATGCCACATCAGGGTAAGCCCCACGTCTGCACATACAGTATAGACAGTGATTGCTTAATGTCCTCAGATTGATCCTGACGTCATTCTCTTTTCCCTCTAAGGTTAAAGAGGTGAGTCGGAGGAAAGGGGAGGTGACGACCACCCGGTTCATCAACGTCACAGTGCCGCCGTTCGAGAGTGAAGTCCCCGGGCTGCAGGCTATGACGTGGTACAACATGAGTGTTTCCTGCAGCAATGAGGTGGGAGCCTCCCCTGTCACCATGTGGATCCAGAGCAACACCACAGAGGGAGGTGTGTGATTACTTAAGGAACCGTTGAACTGAACTTCATTGGCAGTTGGTGGATACACTATCAGATTTTGGGCACAATTGCAGCAGATTCAAGGGAAAATGATACAGAATCTAATCCATCCTAGCACATTCGCATGTTTCTGTAGTTGCCTTAAATGCCACTTTGTGTACAGAGAGGAACCTTTGTGTTATGTTCTTGCCCCCCTTTCATCATAGCACATTCCTGTTTAGGTTTCAGGGACATAGCACTATGTAATTAGCCTGCTACTTTTCCATCCAAAATGTGCTTAATGTAAGCCTCCTTGCAGTAGCAGCATGTAATAATTGGAAAATTACACAATCACCTGCTCTGCCCACTTTCAAGTCCCCTTCAGAAAAATGTTGTATCCTCTAAATCCCATTTGTTTTCCTGAAGGGTCAAATAGGAAATAGGAGTGGTCTGTTGAGAAAACAAGTTCGTACTGGGTGGAGCTGCTTTCAATTTCCTTCCTAAAGCCATCGCAGGGGATATTTTAGTTGAAAGATGTGATATACTGGGCCAGGAAGTGACCACATACCAAACTGTAATCAAAGATTTCAATAGAGGGTCAGTTTTAGTTTCTCTTTTCCGTTTGTATTTTATAGGTTTGGCATGCTGTAGGAAGTCTCTTGATTTAGATACCACTCGTGTTGATGTCCTAATCCCTCTGTTTCCCATTTCTTGTCACATCCTCAGTGCCATCCGTTTATCCCCGAAATGTCAGCGTAGAGCTGAACGACTCGTGGCTGGTGATCACTTGGAAACCTCCTCCAGATGATAAGATAAATGGCATCCTGCGTGGTTATGATGTTATTGTCAGACATGGCACACAAGTGGACACGGTGAGCTTGTCGGCAACACGCTAGTTTTTCCTTGTTTAGGTAGCAGTAGTGATAAAAGTTAGGAAAAAAATGAGAAATACATAAAAACACAATTAAGGTTTTAATCACTGATTTTAGATGATAGTAAGCATCTAATCACCCAGGACCAAAATCAGTGATAACAGCAATACTACTCCACACAGCAGTGTCAGAGAAAATCTGAATCCAGTACGTGAATCCATCAACCTCAAATTAGATAGAAATGATTTATAATTTTATTAAAATCTTCAGGATTAGAACTTAACAGTAAGATGTGAAGGAGAAGGGTGTGTGTGTAGAGGGCACTTTGGGAAGTTAATAGCAACTTGATGTTAGCAAAATGATGTTATTGTGATAGGTACTAGGTAACCACTTTCATATTTTCCCCATATTTTCTTCATAAATACACATATACACATACATCCTTTTTCTTTTTTTGAGAGAGAGCTGAAGTATTTTTGAATTGCATTTTTACCAACAATGACTTATGTATGACAAATATGAAAAGAATGAGTGTTGCATATTGGGAATATGTGATCCTCCCTCCTACCAGAGGTCAGCTTCCCCGTTGTCTATGAACAACAACCTTTCCATTCCTCTCAAGAATCAACAAGGCAGGGAAAGTTATTTAATTTTAGATACATGCCTTAAGATAAGAAATAGCACAGTCTATTTGAATATCAACATTGATGTATCAACCTCAATCAAATCTCCGCTGCATTATTCCATGATGCTGTTTGTAGTTTATTATGCTCCTGTTACTGCATTAGTGTTCCCAAGTACAATAGTGTGTTTCCCGTCCTTCCTGTCTGTGTCGTAGTTAAAGGAAGCTGATGGTGTGAAAACTGGTATTCAGTGTTTTTCTTTGTGATGACTCAGGGCCACATGCTGAACAGAGTGAATGGAATATGAATACAACAGGATGTGTACCATAGGCTCAAATATTCGTATGTGTTGGTTAGTAAGTTGGTGATGTCATTATACACAAAGGCTTTGTAATAGTAGCAGTGACTGGAAGTGTGCACTAAGGCAACTTGTTAAATCCTCCGACTCACCTGTTTCTTGGAACTACCTTTTAGTTAAATAGATAGTGAAAATAAACCAATTATATTTAAATCAGAGGAATAATTTGTTACTACTACTTCCTCAAAGGTCTGTGTGTTTGACGGTAGACGTCGTGGTGCCGTCATTGTCTTTCAAATCTGACGTTGATTTCCCAAATTTTTTGAGCATTTGCTGTTACAACATTTGACCACATGTTGCCCTGTGTTTGGAGCCACAGACATAATAGACTATTAATCATGGGTTCAGCACTCCCAGTCCAAGTGTCAGCACATTGGTAAAGTAGAGGAACCCCAGATGCTACGGTGTGGTGTTGTGAAACACAGGGCTATGTCTTGTCACATGTTCCTGCCCATTGTAGCACATGAGCTTAGAAAGTCAGTCCTTCCCTTTTCTATAGAGAGTTTCATTATATAGAATAACCCCCGGTATACAGGCCACTGGGATTTTCCAAAAAAAATGTTTCATTATTGTAAGTGACTACATGAAAATAGCTTTAAGGGACTTTTTAATTGCATTTCTTGTTTCCTGTAGTGTATTAAGTAGGACGGCGAAAAAAGGAGAAGGAGGCACAGAGAGAGATAGGATGATCATACCAAAGTTGTTGAGCTGGCTTTGAGATGTTGCACAAATGCACAAGATGTTCCTTAGCATGCTGTTCAACCAGAATGCTTACAAAATATTATCTCCGTTCACAGGCTTGAAAATCTGCTTCTCTTTCAGTTAAATGACTTACCTCACTGTACCATTAAAACTCTGTTAAGCCTGTAACCTATTTTTTTTTTAACAATTTGAACTTCTTATCTCCACAGAAATAATGATTAACGTTAAAATGTGATTTTAAGAGAAATATAACGATGACACGAGACTAAATGATCTCTGTTTTTGTGTGTGTTATAACAGATCCACAGTAACAGCACCATGGCCTTTGTAGCTGTGCAGGAATTCAACTCAACCTACTTTGTGCAGGTGGCTGCGTGCACACAAGCAGGGAGCGGCATGGTCAGCCCACCATACAGGCTGTTTGTGCCAGAGGACAGTAAGCTGCTTTATTGATTTATCTCATCATCTCACCATCTTGGAATAATTTGGCCAGCATATTTCAGCTGATGTATTATATCATACTAGAATAACATTACGCCCTATGTAGAAATACAGTACCTATTAAGGCTTTATTCAGTGTTTTTAGCTCTGGCTCTAATGTTAATCAGTCACCTACTTTGACCCAGATTGAAATCACTATTGGAGGGATTGTCATGAAATTTGGTACACACATTCCCCAGAGAATAAATTGTGAACTTTGATTACCTGACCTCTTATTTAGTGCCATGAGGTCACAATTTCAGTGTGTCACTAGTACTTTGGTTTATGACCAAATACCAGCAGGACTAGGCATTCCCTGCAGCCTCAGCTGTACTTTGTGTTTAGTGCTAATCTACAAAGGTTAACATGGTAACACGCTAAACTAAGATGGAGTACACGGAAAACATTCAACTATTCATTTGTGAGCATGTTAACAAGCTGATGTAAGCATTCATCTGAAAGCTACACTGTGTGCAGCCTCACAGAGCAGCTATCATGGCTGTAGACTTCAAGTTTGAAGTTAGTTAGTCTTTAGTCTTTAGTCAAGCTACACTGGCAACAACTTAACATGGCAGGGTTATCTTGGGTATTTTAAAAGACAGTTATTTTCATGATGGGGATAACTTAAACTCCTTGATTAACAGGCGTAACTTATTATTGAATATTTATTAAATTGACTAGTAATAAACACTTATGGAATAATAACATCATATTGAAAAAGCTTATCCATGAACATGTTGGTATAATCTTCATTTTGGGGAATAATAATACGTAATATAATACATGGGGTAACATAACAATGCTAAAAATGCTGAGATATACCATTGGATTTGGTAATATATTTCAAATAACTAAGCCTGAACATTGGATTTTGGATCTCCCATGTGCTGAATGTTGTTTTTTTTTCTAAAATTGTTATCATGCTTTCTTTCTGTTCTTTCTTTTCTATCTCAGAATCAGTCGTGTCCCCATCGTCCAGCCCCGACACCGGAGTCCCAGACTCTGTCTATGCTGTGCTGGGCGTGGTGTGTGGCTTCTGTCTACTGCTACTCATCCTCTGGGGGGCTATCTGTGTACACAACAGGACTTCTGACTCCTGGTTTGGGTATGCTGACAATCTTTCACCATCTGTGCAAACACAGTGTTGATATTATTACCAACCTTGCTTTAAGTTTCATTGTCTTATCTTTGAAGTCGCTTCCGATTACTGTATTTGTGACCCATTTATCTGCGTACTTTGATTTAAAACATAAGAGATATTGATGTTGTAGTTCATTTTGTATTGGCGACTGGGGGTATTGAGTAATCTTTTGTCAGTGGTACACTGTAGAAGGACTTGAACACTGAACTGAACACTTCAGGACTCCTTTAATGAACTGTTTTTGCTTCCTCTTAATCACCATTGTCTGCACCTGAGGTCAGGAATAACTGTGCTGCTGGAGAAATTGACAACAACCAGCTGTCTGTTCTCTGGAATTCATTATTATGAAGTCTATGACTCAGTCTTGCCACTATTGGATATGGATAGGAATGTGTCACAGGCCACGGCTCAGATAGGAAAACCGTATCTGACAACTCAAGAGGGCTTCCTTCCTTCTCTCTGAGTGTAGGATTACGAAGCTGTTCAGCATTCCCAGTTTTTTCTTTTTCCCTGTCTCCCCCTGCAGGCGGTTCTTTGGAGGTGAAGAAAAGCTGCAGCCTGTTGTACAGTACAAACCTCAGAGATCCTACAATCGATCAGCCATAGAAATCACACGTATGTTCTTCAATATTACTGTGGGAAATTAACACGCATGTAGAGATTTATGTTGTCCTGCTAAAGGCCGTACACAATAAGATTGAGTGGGTTCTGTCTGCAGTTGCCAACCTTGGTGTTAGCGATGAACTCCAGGCCAAACTTCAGGACGTAATGGTCATGAGGACCTTGCTCTCCATTGGGAAGATTCTTGGAGAGGGTGAGTGAGCAGTTTCATTTTGGGAAATGTGTAAGCACAGGAAACATAACTATATCTAGAATAATACAGAGAATGCTATAGAGTATGAAGTATTTATGATTTGGTTTTGTTTAATCAGGTGAATTTGGCTCCGTGATGGAGGGACATTTAAGACAACTAGACGGAACATCAGAAAAGGTTGCTGTGAAGACGATGAAACGTGAGCTTCCTATAACTAAAAGACATATTGTGATTATCTGTAAACCATGAAACAAGTAGACACTTTCCTCTCTTTCTTCAAACAGTCGATAGCTTCTCTCAAAGGGAGATTGAAGAGTTCCTGAATGAAGCAGCCTGCATGAAAGATTTCAACCATCCTAATGTCATCAAACTGCTCGGTAGGAGTGATGTAATACCTCTTTAAAGTATCGTAGAATACCACCTCTGTGTTCCCTGGTCCGTTGTTGTTTTGACATCCTTACATTATTTGTGTGTATTGACTTGTGTTCTTTAGGAGTGTGCTTGGAGGGAGGCTCAGGACATTCTCCCAAGCCCATGGTCATCCTGCCATTCATGAAGTATGGAGATCTACACAGCTTCCTGCTGCGCTCACGCCTGGGAGAGAGTCCACTGGTAAAGTTTATTCTAAAAATACATATATTACATAATAAATTATTATTAGACTAAACAATATAAACTTATAATTGTTATGGTGTTGTGTGCTTTTTTACACAGTTCTTGCCCACTCAGACACTCCTGAAGTTCATGGTTGACATTGCTTTGGGTATGGAGTATCTCAGTGGGCGTAACTTTCTGCATCGTGACCTGGCGGCTCGCAACTGCATGTAGGTTGCATGTGCCAACATTTTTTGTTGTCACTTTTAGATTAAGGGAGGTTTGTCGGATTTTCTTTCAGTGTTTTTGTTTTTGTCTTACAGGTTGCGTAATGACATGACAGTGTGTGTAGCAGACTTTGGGTTATCAAAGAAGATCTACAGTGGAGATTATTACAGGCAGGGCAGAATAGCCAAAATGCCTGTGAAATGGATTGCAGTAGAGAGTCTGGCAGACAGAGTTTTTACTGTAAAGAGTGATGTGGTAAGTATCTCCATCTGCTCTGCTCTTTTCTGTACTCTTGGTTTTAGTTTTTCTTTCAAATATGTGAATGTGTCAGATAAAGAGTACACTGCGTCTCTTCCAGTAACAGCAGTCACCTCTGTATACTGTACTGTCACTAAAAGAAGAAGTGACCCATATTTCACTCAATACTGCCTGCTGTAATTTCAAAACCATTTGTCTGAGATCTACACAGAATCAGCTGGATTTACACAGCACTAATTACTCAGCCTTCCTCTTAAAGGTGGAGTAAAGGTCTTTGTCACATGAATTATGAGTGTGGTAATTCTTGAAATCTTTTCATTTTTCCCTGCTTTTGCAATTTTAGGACTTCCAAAATCCAATTTTTGTGTTGCTGGCAAAAAGGCAAAATCCATTCAGCCAAATGAGGAAAAGATGTTTTCCTATAATGTAACATAAAAACTGGAAACTAAATCTGGAATGAAAAGAGAGACTGAATACATTCACAATTCACACAATTTTGTAGTGGACTCCACATGAAGATGCAGATGATCCTTTTGAAATTATTTTAGCACTCTTTCATGTCAGCTCATTTTAAGGTCAAGGGTTAATCTAGGAAAGTGATAGTATTACTGTGTGCACTATATCATCATCTGAAGTCAGTATTCTGTATCCTGCAGTGGGCATTTGGCGTTACCATGTGGGAGATTGCTACACGAGGCATGACACCGTACCCCGGCATCCAGAACCATGAAATATATGACTACCTTCTTGAAGGACACAGACTGAAGCAGCCAGCAGACTGTTTGGATGAGTTGTGAGTGTTGTCTCTTCTTGACGCAAATGTTAAATTTGTGTTTGATTTTGGTGGAGTTAAGATGGACTAAATCCTGAAATTCTTTGTGGTTAATATGTTTTTAAAATGTCACTTGCATGTATTTGACCTTCCACTATACGACCCCCTGATATGTAGTCCTCCCTTTTTTTAGCCTGTGTTGCTGCAACGATCTGCAAACCACAAGCTAAACTTGATCACACAGAAATTGTTTTGCACTTGTTTAGTGTACAGTATATACTTTTTTCAGTTCCCCTTCTTTTGGCTTACATCCAGTCCAAAAAGCAACATTAGTCCAAAAAAACCCTTCATAACCACAGACATGCAGTGAAAGTAGAAACTGAATATACAACTTCCAAGCTGATATTTGACTGGAATTAATGTCTCCAGTTGTGTTAGCTGCATCCAAAAACAAGGCTCTAATTGATATTAAGACGTTATGAAATGAGTTATTTACTTTATTTTCTTGCATCGAGGTATGAGATCATGTACAGCTGCTGGAGGGCCGACCCGCTGGACCGACCCTGCTTTCTCCAACTGCGAGAAATGTTGGAAAAGCTCACAGAAAAGCTTCCAGAGTCTTTCAGCAGGGACGATATCATCTATATTAACACCAGCTTTCCTGAAGAGGACCCTGATGGAGAAACACTTCCTCCAGAACGTCCTGTGTTCAACTCGTCACCTTCCTGCAGCCACCAGGCAGCAGAAAATTCAGTAGTTACTGCCGACATTCATGGGAGCCTGGAGGATGAGGACGAAGAGGGCGATGATCGTTACGTGGTAGTGATCTCCTCTGATCCCTCCCTGAGATCTTCTTCAGTGGACACTCCTCTTTTGTCAAGTGATGCTTTAAGGCAAGCGAATGGAGACATGGTTACTGATGTGACAGCAACGGATCACAATTCGAGTGACACTTCTTTCCTGCTGTAAAGATCGGTACCCAACAGATCCAAACTGTAGTAAAACATTCCCCTTGGTTCATGAGTACTAATCGTTATGCCTCACTGCACTGGGAGCACCTTGACATTTCCTGATGTGGACTTGCAATGTAGCATTGTTATATGAGCAGTTTATGCTTCACCAGCCTACATGTCAGTGTTTGTCTATGTGTGTCAACGTAAAACATGTTCATGCACATGTTCCATAAGCTTAAGATACACAGAACTGTGAAATTGTTTACTTTATGAATTGAATTTTATGTGGCGATGTAAATATAGAAATGTACAGAACATTTATAAAGTGATCTTATATACTGTAAAAATACATGATTTCTTCAAGACTTCATTAAAGTGGGATACATTTTGCCAAGATTCACAGATTCCCTCACTTTAGTGACAGCGTTTCTACAGTCATGTAAATCTGAATTTTTATTATAAAAGCAAATAGTAGTAGCTATAACAATAGGAACATATGTTATCAAAAGAACTAGTCCTGAGATAACTTCTGTTATGAATTGGCGCTATACAAATAAAATTGAATTGAATTGAACTATTATGAAGTAATTATAAAATCACAGGCAAAAACTTATTCTAAAAAAGTATGTTTAGGCATTGATGCAGTCCAGTGTTGGAAGAAGTACTCAGATTAGTTACTTAAGTAAAAGTACCACCAATAATGTAGAAATACTTGCTTACAAGTAAAAGTTCTGAATCCAAAATCCAGTTTAAGTAAAAGTACATGAGTACTTAATTGCCAAGTATCAAAAGGAAAAGTTCTTGTTCTGCAGAAAAAAACCTCCTGTGATATTATCATATGTCTCATGTCACTGAACTAAAAACTAGGACTTTACCTCTAAATAATAATAAAAAATATATAAAATATTCAGTTATAGTATATGTTATACTCTACATGGTTAGTGCAAGTGGAGATACTGTAAAATATAATGTATTTTATTGCTGCAACAAAGGTGCTTTATTGGAATCAGATTTGAGAATAACTACACAATGAATCTACATGCACAGGTATTTAACATACTGTATGTACAGGTGTGTGACATATTGTTTAAGTATGTACTGTGGGTAGTATATGAGTGGACATATACGGGTATTTTATGGAGTCAAAAGCACCATATCCCACTGACATTTAGTGGAGGAAAACTGTCCCAAATGGGAATATTTAGATAAACACCAGTAGCTTAAAAACTGTGTTTATGTGCAACCTTTAGTTGTGATTATGTGAATGGATTCAGTGTCACTGCAGGTTGGAGGTTGAGCTGATGAGGAGCAGCAAGTTCACCCTTCTGCCTGCAATTAAAACCCCACTTTCAGGTGGGATTTAAATAAGGATTAGTCAGTGTGATGAAACAATAGCTGACAGTTAATCTGAGGGTCTAGGAGGTATAACCGCACAAGACTTATTATTATTATTATTATTTTGTACTGAAAAGCAGTCAAACCCCCATTGCCGGGACAGGTGTTCCTTTACAGGTAACATCCCACTTCACTCCAGCTGTTGCGTTCAGGGCGCCTCCTACAGGGGAGCTTTCAAGCCCACAACGAACATGGCTGCTGCAGTCAGGATGAGGACGTGGAGCTGTCCGACCAGAGGAGTTTTCTATCCATGGGCAGTCCTTTTTGTAGTTTCACTTAGCACCATAAACGCGGTCGTCGCAGCGCCAGAGACAGGGCTTTGGAAAATCACAGTCGTAAATGTAAGTATGTTTAACGCACTGGATAACAGCAGCAGCTGCTGGTAGCTAACGTTAGCTGCATTAGCCTCGCTATCAGCTGTGAGTGTAGTGACAACAAGACGTGTAAAACCGGCATTAATCGTGTCGCATTAACCACCCTTGACTGCGGCTTCCTGTCCTCAATGGGCTCAGATAAAGTGTCCCTACCGAAAGAGCAGAGTATGTTGTTAGCTGATCAGCAGTTAGCCTTGTAGAGGCTGGTGTGCACTTCAAGGTTAGCCGTCGGCTATCTAGCCGGCTCCAGGTTAAGTTAGACGGCTGTCCTAAGAGTCTAAGAGTATATATCTTTGTTTTAAACCCTAAAAGTCCACCTCTTGACCAACACTTGAGAGTCCACACCCCAGTTTGAACTGTGTTTTTTACTCCCAACACATTATTGCTGTGGTATACATTGAAAATACACCCAGAGAGTTGATTTACAGTCAAAGAGGAGCCCCCCCCTGTTCGTGCTTGGTCACTTCCCAGACTTGCTCCAGGGAGAACTAGAAAGCCTTGATCAATAATTTAAGTATTGAGAAGTTTCAAGTTGCCTCTGTGGTTGTCTCTATATCTAGTTGCAGTGTTATGTGTGTGCTGAGAGGCAACCTGGAGAGGTCACCAGTCTGTCACAGACACACATTTATACCTGAGGATAATATTAATGTCTGTTATTAAGGTCTGTTTCCCTCTTCGCACGCACAAAAAGGGTCCAGCCTGATTAGCTTAGAACCCAGTGATAACCACTGAACCCCACCAACTAATTATATAATGATTAATGAGACAAATAATCCTTGTTTTCACTTGTTATTTACTATTCTGCAGACCTCAAGACCACTGCTGTTAAAGAAATCAATGTACAAGGACACTGACATCGAATTGAAAAGTAAGACATGGGAAAGTGCTCATGATGTATCACAAAAATTGGGCCCTTTTATGTCTCTTTTTCCCCTCATATTCACTTGTGTCTTCTTTTAGTTGAGTCCCCTGGCTGTCCTGAGGAGGTTACATTCACCATTCACTGGTATTTAAAATACTACCCCTGTCACAATGAATTCAACAATGTCGAAGTAAGTACAGAGTCTTAACATCATACAATTGATCTGTCTGGATTTGATCGTCTATGAATGCTGAATTGTGATTGTCTGTAGGAGATGTATGAGAAAACAGGCTTGAGTCGTCGGGGGAGCCTGGATCCAAATCCCCTTGGACAAGGAGAGTACATCGAACACCAACACAGTCCCATTACGTGTAACAGTGGACTGCACTCTTTTCCAATTCTCAAAGTAGGTTTGTTACGTTACTCTCCGCAGCATAGTGGCGCATTTGTTATCTCTCGACATTAGTAACTGGTTGTGTTTTTCAGAAAGCCAAGGCAGACCCACATCCAGTCAGCCAGCCTGTTGAAGGGGAAGTGCCAGTAAGAAAACATAAATGCTCTTTGATTTTAATAGAATAGTGTTGCAAAGAATTAAGTCTCCCAGAAACATAATCTGCAAGTATTAAACATCAAAAAGTGATAAACACTGCATTACTCTTGTGATACTGCAGGATGAAAATGACACCAAAGGGATAATGGAGGAGTACGACAACAGCAGTTTACATATCAGAGACAATGTCATAGCCACCACGTGGAAGGACGGACCTTACTTGCTGGTCGTTAAGATCGTGTCTAGTAAACAGGATGCCAACTGGAATTTAACAGGTGAGATTTTCTAAACGCGTAATTACATTATGAGCAACTAATATACTGTGTGACTGGCATGGAGGACCATTATCACCCTGTATTATTTTTACTCTAGTGTGGATTGATTCAAATGTCTGCCAGAAATGGTGCTTTAATATGCAGAAGTAACTTCCTTAATCACAAGCTGGCTCATAAGTGCGAAGTTGTTTTGCAGCCGACGCTGATGTGTCAGCTTTCGAAACCACCGGAAACAAATTCTTTGTGTTGGGTAACGTGCTTCATTTCTCTTAATAGCTCTATTTTGTTTTCTTGTAGTTAATGTGGTGATGAAAGGCAGCCATGGTTACATTTCTATCACAGAATGGCCTCTCATGATTGTAAGTATTTTACTTAAGGAGTCAGTTTTTGTTAGAAATGCTAATTACCTATTTGTAAAATAAGTGGTTTATATGCTATTAAAGGGTTAGTTGACCTAAAACACAATAATACATACAGTTGTATCTCTGGTAAGCCCAGTACAGTCTGACTACATTCATAAAGATGTGGTTTCTTATGAAAAAAAAAACACATTTCCTGTTTCGAAGAATTAAATGTAGACATTATCACACTTACCTTACCTCTTAAACAAATACCTTTAAGACTTCACTTTATTGACCTTAACAAACCACGCTGAACCTGAATGAGTAGTCAGTTCTCTGAAGAGAAAAAAAAAAACAAGCTGATTTTGGATGAACTGTCTGATTTTCTGGAATTTGGTCTCCAGCTAATGAAGAACAACTGTTCCCATATGTGTTTATACACTAATCCCTCACTGTCGGTTTGTAGTTCTACATGGTGATGTGCATAGTGTACATCCTGTACGCCCTGCTGTGGTTTATCTGGGCAGCGTGCTACTGGAAGGATCTGCTGCGGATCCAATTCTGGATAGCAGGGGTCATATTCCTCGGGATGGTGGAGAAGGCCGTCTTCTGTGCCGAATATGAAAACACCAACACGTTCGGCTCTGCTTGTGAGTGTCTACAGATCGTCACAAAATACCTTTTTACCTTTTTCGTGTGAGATGGCGAGGTGTTTGGTTTTGAAAGCTTATTGTTTTCCTGTTACTGTTTCCTTTAGCTCCGGGCTTGTTGATCTTTGCCGAGCTGGTCTCTGCCCTCAAGAGAACTTTGGCTCGATTGCTCGTCATCATCGTCAGCCTTGGTTATGGCATTGTAAAGTATGTCAACATATCTGTACACAAAGCTACTTGTATGAAAAACCCCTAAATTATTATACAAACAGAATTAGGCAGCCATCTTATAACTTTCTGTGTGCCTCTTTGGTTTTAGGCCTCGGCTAGGGACCGTAATGCACAGAGTTGTGGGGCTCGGCATCCTCTACTTTGCCTTTGCGAGCATTGAAGGTGTCCTAAGGATTACTGGGGTGAGTTGTGTTCTCTGATGATTTAATGGAGATCAGTCTATACAAATATCAACAATAACATTTAAATTCAAAGATATTAACAACAATTTGAATCAGAGGAAAGCAAACAGATCTTCAAATTTGAGATGTTCAAAGCAGCTTTTTTTAGTTGGCTAATTACAAACGACTTCATTAACTTTGTGATGATCATGAGTGGACTCATTGTTTCACCAGTGCTTGATTGTTTATGACCTGATGTGAAAATAATTAAGAATATTAGTACTATTAAAGCTCTGGTTTGCTGTCGGATTGTGTTTTGAAGTACTGACATCACAATTTGTCTACTTTCTTGATTCGCTGGGGGTCCAAAAATCAAGGGTCGAGACAATGGCCCCGTTCTCATTACAGCAATTGTTCTGGCTGTGTTTGACTCCTGCGCCATCTGGTTCATATCCTTCCAGTGTACTCCTCAGAAAAACCAATAATCAATAGTTATTATACCCTCATGTGACAATGTGGACATATTAGATTAGATTATTCTTGCCTGGTTTGGATCA